AATTTGCCAGATGTGTCCTCTCATAACACAAATTTAGGCAACCCGTTAGGTTGGTAAATAACGCAATATTCAGTGATCGAGACTTTGGGATAAATGAAAATGCTTCACTTGGCACGTTAGTTATTATTCAGTAATATTCTTATCATCATCACGTCATCCAACTCCCACCAACCAAACCTCCCTGCCTGCATAAGCCAAGCTTAACTGTAAATGTGTGTGTGATTGCGAACACCGGTGTCATTGATAAAGAAATGAGTGGCAAACATGGCTATCGTAGCGTAACAATGAATCAGGTTAGACCCGTGAGCCACTGTTGCGTAAAAGCAAAGTGTGCATGGTGAACTTGTCACAAAGATCTGGCATAACTACGGTTCATGCACATACTCTCAATAATTTGCGTCTACTTCTTTTTCATACGCATTTTGAGTACCCCTTGTACTTGGAATAATTTAATAAAAAGGAGCATTTGTCTATTAATCACCGTAAGATGCAAAACTATTTGCATAAGTAAAGCGTCTACTTTTTTAAACTTTCATCGTATGTATACCGTGCTCAAATTGATACAACTCTTTTTTTAGCCATCTACTTACTTCAAAGATTGGATGTGATGCTTTTCCCGAAAAATTCTCCCTCGTTATTAAACTGCATGAGATGAGTGGGGAGCGAGAGTGTCGGTGGTAGTGCTCGTTGACGATTGTCGTGTTGCTTGTTATCTGATGGATGATGATGATTAGGTGGGTGGTAAGGATGCCGTGTGCAACGGGCTGCCTAATCCTCCTTCTCCCTCTTCGTCTTGTGTAGATTTTAAGTGAAAGTTGCTCATAAAGAACTTTTGACATTCTCAACTTTACTTTACTCACTCGAGTTGGTTAATAAGTCTCAAGTTCTTTTTAATGTTGCGTTGAGTGAGGACGTGTACAAAATAGCTCCGTCGAGAAGGAGAGAGAGAAAATAGATTGTGGTCGTCTTTGAGAACTTTGCTTTGTCCTATAGCGACGTATAAATTGGGAAAATTTGATACGAAAGCCATGAAGCACCTCTTTTGCTTCCTCCTGCGGAAGCGGATTAGTAGGTTTACAACGTGGGTATTTTTATACTCGACGAGGAAGAGAGGGATAAAAAATTGGTCCCTGGGTTGAATTATGGGAGAGAGATCCTCCTGCAGAGCAACTCCATTGTCGTTGTCGTCTGCTGCTGAGTGAAAGTAATTCGGCTGCCCCTTGTCTTTGTCTGCGTTCATTGGAATGAGATAATAAAAGTTGGTTCATTAAGCAGCCCTCTTGGAGTGTCGTGGAAATTTTTTTAATTGAAATTTACAACTCGCGCTCCAATGACTTTTGTTACCAGATTTCCAGGAAAGTTGTGTATATTTATTAGTACATGCTCCTCAAGAGAGTTGTGATCTGAGACGAATTTATGCTCGTCAATTACCAAATTCTAGATTTTTGTTTATCGTCCTATTAACTATTACATGATTGGGCCTGACTTTAACTGTAGCAAACAATAAAGCATAAAATTAAGCTTGATAATTTCCTGCAGTCTTTTCTGTACACATGAATAGTGCATTTTCTTGGAGCGTTAAGATTACCAGAATTGAATTAAAGCTAAACCCTAGATACTTTTTAAAATCTACTTCATTCAGCCCATCGTCTTTTGTCATTTATCATCCACATCAAATAACTTTTCTATTTGACAAAGATTATGTGCATGCATATTCATGGGAAATAAATGTATGATGGATGCAAATACTGCATAACGTAAGGAAAAAAAACTATTTTTAATTAAACCTTTTACTTCAAAAAGTCAAAAGAGTATTTTTGAAAGAAACCTAAATCCTTACTAAATTTGCATAATTGTATGAATAGTTATTATTCTAATATTTCCAGAATCGTATAAATCATAAAACTCAGATAAGACGCAGATGTTTTAGAAAGACTGATCTTGCAGGAACATTAGACAAAAGGGTGGGGGAGACATTAACATATTTAAAACGTTTTATCTGTCTGAAGAATAAAAATTTATGTGGTTATGATTTTTCATCCGTCTTAAGTCAACGGAAGGAATTTGAATTAAAACGTAAGACAAAGTAAAAAGGGAAATCTTGTGGCAGCAATAATTCTGGGTTACTTGAAAATAATGCTTTACTATTTTACGAGACGTTTATTTTCCCTTGGAGAATATTTCGTCAAAGCGAATGGTACAATTTATTTTCTGGTCTTGAACATGACTCGCCATGCGATTCTGTACTTGGTCAATTAAAGTCTTGGTCTGGCGTGATATTGGTTACAACACTTTGATAAGAGTGAAGTTAGTGGTTGGAGCAAACTTCAAGTGTCAAAATTCATTACCCGGCTGGGTGTGGAAACGGAGGGATACACGGCTGCTGGAAAAGAGAAAGTCATCCGGGAAAGCACACATTTCAGGAAATTTATATCGAGTGACTCAAAGTGGAGGAAGCGTGATCATATAAATTTTAGTTAGTCCACAAAAACCAGCTGTGACCAATTCTTTTTTCTCACGATTAAAATCCTACCTCCCACCGCCGAAATTATGTTAAAGCCTGGCTCTAAGGGTATTTTCTCCCTGATATATCCGCTAAATATCCCGTGATGCTATATCACTCAAACTATCACTTTGAATGGTTTTATACGTTGAGACGTATAATTTTTGGATTCTCCTCTCCTCGTTCTCAAATGGGAAAACTGTCTGTGACCATCCTTGCTCTGACTCATGCTCAAGATTATTATTCTACTCGCATCTCACGACCAAGCAAGTCAAGACATTTTTTTACACAGGTCCGATTTCTGTGGAAAGAGGAGCCATTCTAAAAAAACCTAATTACTCTGCGGAAATGAATTTCTTGTTCAATATCCTTCCTATGAAATGGAAAGATTTCATTTTTTGATAATACGTAATAAAAATAAAGGCGAACAATCAATATCAATGCTAACTCATGTATGTACTTTTTTACATGCATGCGAATTTCGTTATTATATTGATTCTGGGATATGTGTATATTTAATGTGTAATAATAATGATGTACGTTGTTTATTGATTACATACGCCTATTTTCTGTTGTAATGAATAGTCTGCATTTCACAATAGTGACAGTGTGTGTAGTACATGCATTATTACATGTGTACATTATTACAATGCCTCAGAGTGAGTTTAGGAGAGATAAAAGTACTGCAGACTCCCACCACCCCCTACTCGGTGGGTTGGTGGTTATCGATTTGATCTCTTTTTACCAAAGTGAAGGCTCCATTTAAAAGCCATCAATGGATAAAAAATGTAAAATACATGTTCTGCTGCTTGCAAAATGAAAGACATGAATTGATGGTATCGACGACTCTGGAGAGGAGAGAGAGGGAGGGAAGGGGTAACAAATGCAATATTCGACTACATGTACGCCTGCCTCTCTTTTCTCTCTTTTCTCCCTCACTTTTCATATTGCAGCATCAAATTGGATGAGCACAGCGGGTGTCATGTTATACACGTCTAGCCACGGATCCACATCCCATCAGAAATCAGAGCTGGTGGGGTGGTTGGTGGGGAGTCATTCATATGAAAAAAAGAATCAAGGACATAACGGGAGTTAAGATGAATTGAACTGTACTCACTCCTGCCTGCGTACACATGCACACACCAGAAAGTAAAAGTGGTGTGCAGCTTTCTACCACCATTTCATCACACACAATAAAATGTATCCTTTTGCAACGGGCTATCGCGGACAACAATTGGTATTCATGTAAATCGTGAAGCTAGCTTGTGGAGTTCTACTCACTTTTTGGGGAAAGTACGAGGAGGGCAAAGACTCTGCATTATGCATTACTTCATATGCATGTAGAATACCTTTGCTAGTGGAAATGCTGTTTAGATACTTTGAAATCATCAAAAATAAAAAGTACAAGATATGTTCCTCATCTTAATTCTTTGGTGTATAGACTCTAATTTGACAATCACAAAGTCTGTGCGGTTGACATTAACAAAAATGTGAGCATTGAGCAATATTAATTTGTATAAACTGTTATGAAGAATGAGGAGCAAGCTGGAAAACTCATGGCTTCTTACTTTGAATTTAAGTCATAGCTTGACTGCTTCAATTTGGGATTGAAATGTTGGGAGGAATTCTACGGATTTGTCCTTCGACTTCCTCCTCGTCCTCGGAGCCACTCAATTCTCGGTGGAATGAAGTTTAGGACGAGAAGTAGAAAGGAGTTCACTCGTGAAGACACTGAGCTCGAGCTGTCATCATAATAACGGAAAATTCTGGCTGGGCTCCTTTTTTACCCATCCCATCACCCCATCAACCATACTTTACTTATCCGGCACTGCCTCCTTAGAAGGATAGCATTACCCCAGCAGACATTATTGTGTCTGACAGCTCTGTTGTCATTGTCACCCAACCCAATCATACAAATCCTATTTTCAATTCTCTCCGTTCCCACACCCGCGTCTGATTTCTAGCAATATGACGAACTATGTATATGCATGTATCCAACCCTCTTTCTGCAATAAAGGATATACGACGACAAAAAGTATAGAGAAGGAAATGTTAAACGATGAATTTTATTCAGCGACGTTGATCGAGACAGTCCTGGTCCTGACTTGTTCTTATCCTTAGTTGATTTTTACTCGTAGTCGCATCGTACACATTTGGTGAATTCGATACTACTTGTAACAGTACTGAGGGCTCATTTTGCAATTAACTTAAAATTGAGACTTAAAGAAGGATGGACCAGAACACACTATTCACCACGTTTCATATTTGAAGCCATAAATAAGCCATCTCGTTTTATACGCAAGATACGTTCTTATGTATGTACATGTATTGCGTAAATTGTCTGCGCAATATACATATGCAGCCAGGGCGCAAAAATATTTTGGCAAGATATGAATAAAAATTATTGAGATTGTGGATCGAGACATTTCTTGATTTTGCTCAGTCAGAGTGAAGAAAGATGACTCTGACAGTTTGATGATTCGTTTTCCTTTTTTAGTTTCCAGGAACTGGTGACGAGCAGCAACGGAAGTGAGTGGGCGTGTACACATACACAAACACAACATCAACTGCAACAACCGAATGCTAAAGAGTAAATCCCAATAGAACCACTGAGACACGGAACTTTGAAGTAGAATTACTACAATCAAGGCCACACGATGAGGGGGATGAACGGTTCTTCTGGAGCATCGCCCGAGAGGGGGTATTCTGGGATTCCAGCCCAAGTGGGTCCTCCGATGGGGGGAGGACCTGGTGGAAACGCAGCTGCTCCCAGCCTTCACAGTCAGGCAGCCGCTGCTGCTGCCGGTCTCGGTGGTCCCGAATTAAAGCACCACGCCGACTTCTTGTCCCGACTCTTGGCAGCCACACCCTCCTATTTGAGCGAGATGGGGAACCCACCTCCAGGATTTTTCTCCGACTGGCTCCGCAGACTGGTTTCCAAACCTGGCGGAACTTCACAAAGTTCTCTGTTGACCTTTCCTGGACAGCCCCCGGAAGCAGAGAACAGCGGCAGATCCGCCGCGCCTTCGAATCCTCCTGACACTCAGCAGGTCTCATCCAAACGCAGGAAACGCTCTCGTCTGAATGATCGCCACGCAGAACATCCGAACTTGGTAACTAACTATCTATCTTCTCAATCCTTCCTTTCCGAGTGTCGACCAGGCTCAGTCTTTTTCTACATACAACTGTGTCATACAGATTTAGTTTGCAGTTGGTTAGGAAAAAATGAGTACGAAGGATTTGTATGTTCTTTGTTAGTATTTCAAAGATATCAATAATATTTGCAATATTTTCATGTTTTCTTTTGCAAATGACTCACTCGTCGGAAACTGACGGAAATGATAATAACCAACCAATTTGAGCTGAGACCGAGTAATTGTTGAGTCATGAGGGAAAAATTGAGTGGGCTTGTGAGTCTCATCCTTATAACTTTGGCACTCTGTGACAGGGTTTCAAGATTAAGCGGAGAAAGTTTGCTCCCAAAAATGTGACCCGGTTATTGATCACTCTGCAATATCTTTTCCCTCTCGACTTTATATGACGCACTTATTATTTACTACGACACAGTAGGGAGAATATCAGGAGGAGATAAAAAATACATACCCATTTATTCACCCTCCGCCAATACATAATATCTCATATGTCGAGAAGATGGATGTTATACGTATGGATTTATATAAAGTGTGGAATATTTGTAGTCTGAGGTGCTGCTGGTGGTTGATATTACATTATATTTGAAGTGCTGGTTGTTGGAGTAGAAGAAGAGATCCACTCTCGTCGTCGTCCTCGTCGTTATATGTATTTGATACCAGGGCATACACTCCAATCTCCAAAACTCCGCACTCAAAGACTACTTTTCTTTGGTCCAAAAGAGCCCTCATTACTTGCTTACTCTGCCATCATGGCTTCAATTTCTGTCCAACTACCCATTCAATTTTATCCAATTCATTTCAAATCCGTCTGATGAGCAGATTTGTCCTCATCCTTCCTTCTTCTTCACAAATCTTCAAATCGCTACCAATTCACGGGCTTGGAGTCAACAATAATACACTTTTCCCATGGTTGGAGGTCCTCTCGGCCAGACCCACTCTTCTTGAAATGTGTATCCATACAAAGGTCAAGTTATAATAGTCTCGATGGACACGAGATTCGTGAAAATCTTGGAAAGTGTATCTCTACAGACTGTAAAATTTTTTAACATAACTTATTCAGACTTGTGTGTGCCATTTAGATCACAGTGTGAAGATTTGAAATTCACGTCACGTAAAATAAAATTCCAATCAATCGAAAAGCATTACACAAAAGGCATAATCATCATCATCGTCCAATTCTCCTGGGTATTAAATTACTGAAAGAAAAGAAAACGAAAAGATCATTCTTGGTTTAGCCCTGATTTTTATAGATACGGGCAAACACTTTTGTGGCATGCATTCTAAACACGAGGACTAGATTATGTAATACGTATACCACAGTGGTGGTGGTCTGGTTAGATATTGTCATTCTCAAGTTGAAGTTGTTCATGCACAAAAAGACCCCTCTGGTCCGGACTTTCCTTTTCACTGCACTTTATCCACGATCGTCTCTAGAGAAATTACAGCTTCTTTCCACTTGTATTCATTGAATAAATGATGTCACTACGCCCAGAAATTCTGCGTTTCAGCGTTCATCTACCAAGCACCAGATGCACAGATATTTACATTACATGAAACTGCTCCTCCCACTAAAAACATTTCGTTCAATCAAGTAAAATTACTTAATCCAGCCAGAATATTGAGACATGAACGTCTAGATTCCTTCAGTAATCTTTTGGCTATTTGTAATTTATAAAAAAGACTCGGGAATCTAAATATGAACTCTGCTGCGGATTGAGTAATTGCATGCATGGCCAGCGTATTATAGGTTAAAGAATGTACATACGTAGATGGTGCCAGGCAGAAATACTTGGGTAGGAATATTTGGAGACAAAGTGCCCGTTGCCATTGCCATTACCCGGGTCTCCTCAGAGCAGAGAAACTTACTTGTGTCTCAAGTTAAGAACTTTGGTTCTGGTCAGAAGGGAGGAAAGGTCACCGATTTGTATTAGGGGCACACAAACCAGCCATACGTGTACATTTTGGGGGATGGCATGGAAAGCAAATGTGAGCTATTTTGCGTCCACTTTTTATATTTTATTCAATTGGGGATAATATAGTGGAGGGAGCGAGTGGGTCTCAATCCTCAATGGACCGTAACAAACTGCAAGTCTAAAGAATTTGGTGATCCAATTCTACCCAACAACCACGCTTCTGCTCACTCGGTTTACCAAATTGAACACAGTCCACGTCCGCCACGACATTTCGGAACACACATTGAATGACATTACATAAAATTACATGAAATCATATGGTCTGGAATCTGAATTGGGTTATTGAAAAAATACGTCCTTCTGAGGGCTTCATACGTAGAGTCAGGAAAGCTTCTTATCTTAAAGCACAGGATCCATATTTATATTCAAACAGGATTTCGTGGAGAAGTTGGAATTTTTTCTAATTCGACAATCAAATTTTGGACATCTGTCTCATGATTCAAACATTGATACCACACAAGTTGACCAGTCTTTGACCCGTGTCTGTTTATCATGGTGTTTATTCGGGAACATTAATCTTACTGGTCAATTTTTTCATCAGATTGTCATATTATCGTACTACAAAATAACATGTTAGGAATCTTAGTTTTACTTCAAACTATAAGCAAAACTGTTTGTGAGTGCAAAAAAAAACTGAATCGCAAAGCATTATATGTGGTGAAAGTCATTTAATACTGCAGTAAACGCAGTAAATACATAATCCTGATGATGGGGATTTTATGGCAGATTGACTAATGTAATTTCACCAGGGGACAAATTAGACAGAGAAACATGGAGCAGAACGCAGCCGGGTAGAAAATGATACGGAGGTTATGTGTCATACTGGAGACTTGAGTTGTGTGTGAGGGGGTGAAATGGTGATGATAATGAACATTATGATAAAGATGTGGCCATATAGTTTATGTTTCATAAGGGAAAAGCCTTTCAGTTGTGATCATTGAATTGAGCAGCTGAATCATCCTTTTTTCTGTGTCGGTCGGCTAGGATTTTAATTGGATCTCATCTCCGGAAATAATCATCTGTCGGGGCGTAAATAAAACGCTTTCTCTCAAATTTTTATGCAAGGAGAGAAAATGCGACTCTGGGGAGATTGGTGTTGAGATGATGCACGTACGGCATCGGTGTGCGAAGATCGTGTCGGCTGCAGTCACCGAGAGACAGTAGCGTTGTATGTAATTACATTTCCGCTTTTCATCTGACACCCAAACAAGCTCTCTCTGTTTGATGCGACTAATACAACGAATTTTAGTAGTGTGATTTTTCTAGGCTCATTCTGTTCCAAATAATGGAAATAATGTGTGTATACTCAAATCTGAATGTGATTTATCCGATTTACACAGTTGCTGAATTGCACATTGTGAAATTATTCATTTATTTTGTTAAACGTGGAATTCACGCTCCACTGCAAATAATTGGACTCCTTCATTAACCAGGTCCAGTAGATTATGTTGAAAATTACATATGCCAACGAGAGAATGTACAGGCCATACTGTTCAATGACGATGGCGACTCGGCGATACTTTCGCAAAATCTTCTTGGTTTGCATGTCAGTGAGAGGTCGTCGTTTCTTGTAGTCCAAAATCTTTGAAATAAAATGAAATGATAATTTTTTACAATCGGTTGCACCATGAATATAATACAATTCTAACCTCTAAACTGAGCTTGTCATCATCTTTGGGAGCTTGCATTCGCTCTAAACCTCGCTTAATCCTTCAATGTAATAATCAAATATTTATTTTGAATACGCATTTACGTAATTAAGCCAAATATCTATAAATCTAGTCAGACGTTCACGTATATTTTTTTATATTTTTCTTACCATGCCGTGATTGTGAACCCACCTAGTGCAGTAAAAATGAAAATGATGCTTGACACCATCCATATATCTATTGCTTTAACGTACGACACTTTGGGGGTCTCGTCTCTTGAATATACAACAAACCATTTATACGTGTACTTATATTAGGGTTCAAATTGTTTAAGATTGAAATTATGTATTAGGGATTAAGTACCTCACTGAAGCAAACATAGCCGTTAGAGTTAATAAAGTACTCATTGCAATGCCAACCCGAACTTCAAACATATCCGGTGAAATAAGGAAACAGAGCCAAGTTACAAGTACAAAAAAGACGCTGGCAAAATAAGTTTGCACCAACTGATAGGTCATTTTCCTTCGAGCCAATATAGTAAATTGCAAATTTGAGTAGAGTGAACCTGACGAGAAGAACTTGAAATTAGCCGTCACCTGAATTTAGCATTTATTTTTTTGTAAATGTAGCTTGCCTGGGTCGGATGCAGGTCCAATGTCTAAAAATGTATCATTTGAGGTGAAAGATTGTATCTGATAGTCAAAATTAGGGTCCGAGATCTGATGAAGATAAACTCCTGTCCCCCCTTGAAGAATCCAATTCAATGCTAGTCTTTCTGTTGTGTAAGAAACTACGTACATAAAAAATTGCATCATAAATTTATCCACACTGAATACGTAGTCATAAATATTTAACCAAAAATCAGTATGTAAATGTACTAATTTACAGCTTTTTAAAGTAAATGAGCAAGTCTGCGTATCGGCAGGGTAATAATACTGGGGAAGCATAACCTCCATCATCCCGCGCTCGTATCCTTCCCATACTATTAGCATGGTAGGGATACGAACGCGGGAGCCAAATTTTGATGGAAGTTATGCTTCCCCTACTATACTTAAAATTTAGTTCACAGCTCAGTTTGGCCAAAACCCTACCAAACAACAAGTGCAATATTTATATAAAGAGATCGGAAAGTATTTGAATGATTTAATATTTACCTTGAACGATATACTACAAACCCTGTCTTCGGATGGAGGACAACGGTAATCGAATTACCCATGAAGGTTGGTTGGGAAAGTGACATTACTTCCTCGATATAAATATCTGGAGTCCATAACTTTTTCAAAAATGTTGGACTTAAAACGACTGCTTCGTCTTCAAAGTCTGCATATTGATACTTGTTTAAAATATTTCCATCGGTCCAAAGCAGTATTACGTCCATGTCAAGAGTGTAGGAGAGAATAGTGGAATTTGGTGGTTGCAAAAGAGAGCAAGGATAGGAAGCAGGGCGGTTAGCCTAGTGGTAAGGTGTTCTCCCGGCATGAGAAAGACACGAGGTTCGATTCCTCGTACCACACTTCCTTCTTATTTTTGCTCTCAACGCGTATGCAATCCTCCGAAAATCCCACATGTGGTAGACCAGCTGTTCGATCTCAACCCTTTCACTGTCCAACGAGCAACGATCATGGTATCCTATAGTGATCTGTATTCGCTGTCCAACGAGTACACGGGGTTCCCCACCCGTTTCCCCCCCGTCCCAAGAATAACACATGCTATCTCAGCATCGTTACTTCGCGAGAATAGTGTGGCTATTCAGGCCAACAGAGCCCCCTCCAAATATTCCTCCCCTTAAACGTCAAGCCTATCTCATCCTCAGTGTAAGCCGCACAGTTCGCATCATGAGAAGGAGTGACATCATATCTCTCTCCGTTCATTAGTACTGGGTGGAGACCACCCAAAAATTTCTCGGGACAACTGTGAGAGAATAAATACGAAGTGGGATAGAGAGAAGGTGGATTGTGGGTAGAAATTGCCAATGCCTTCGTAGTGTAATGGTAAGCACGCCTGACATGTAATCGGGAAGTCCGGTAGTCGAAACCCGGCAGGGGCATTACAATTTTTGCCAAATCCACCTCTCACTATGACTTGGAAAGTCGTTCCCCACAAGAGTCACAAGCTACATTTAAGTAAAATTTAGGAAAGTAATTAAAAACATAAAATAGTTTTTGTGTTTGCCAACCTCATCCTCCTCATTGAAGTCCACAATTCCTCTCACATTTAGAAAAACTTCACAAGAAACAGGTTTTTCAATCGTGATCACTTTCTTGTTCCGAAGTGTGAGATTGTACTTTGCCTTTGGAGCCTCAAACTTATTATAATCCTCCGGAAGGTATTGATCCCCACCGGATTTTGATTTCACTTGCGACCCAGTATTCAATTTCGATAGCTTTTTTAGAAGCTGACAAAAAAGTTTTTCCCTTACAGTCATCGAAACTTTGTTGGAATTATTTGCTAGGACATCGCTGTTGCAAATTTCATCTATTATCATAGTTGTTTCAATGTCATTCGATCCAGAACTTTTTTTAAAGTCGTCGGAACTGTTGTCATCGTCATCACTAGAATGCGCAGAGTTGGAGTCATCCTTTTTTTGACTTGACCGTATGAATCTTTTCTCATCTTTCAAATTACTTTGCAAGTAGTCTCCCTCAAGGAGTTGATTCAACGAAAAATCCTCTCCTTCATACCAAGGTAATTCTTGTCCTTTGATTAGAATAATAATCCTGAAAACAAAAAATTGTAAATCTCACCTATAAAATTACCTCAAAGGATTTCAAAAATATCGCACTTACAAGCAAAATGCAACGGTGCTAAAACTTACGTATTTGCCCATAGCAAAGATGATAAGGGTTTAGAAAATGCTGTTGGAGTCAGTCTAGAAAACAAGGATAATTTTGTGGTAAAATTATTCCCATGATTCGTCCTAGAAATTTCTATACAAGCAGATCTCCAGTTTTATTTTTAAGATTATCATAATCAGGTAATTTCAATTTCGTATTGGTTTAAAATGTAGTTCATGTGTGCAGTTTTATGCATTGCAGATTTATATTTAGTATGCACGATTATCACTAAAACAATAAGCTAAGACAGTTTTTTATAGAGTTTCGCGAGTACAGTTTTTCATTAAGCTCTGCATATTCTCCCAGCTCATGATCATTATATTTCACAAAGGGTAATAATTAATGTGCATTTACATTCAGATGGAGAGTTGTGTAAGTGTAACGTTTTAATTAAGCAATATGATTAAATTACAAGAAACGCTTGGTAGAAAAATTCAAAAGTAATACAAAGTAGTGCAAAATTAATAATAAGTAAATATGTAAATAAGTATGTCTGCAGCTTCACATCTATGTGGCATGCGAATCACTTATTGGCCTGAAACCGTCTTTAAAGAAACACGAAATATCAGAAATGAGTTAAATTTTATTTTGTTGTAAATTGAAAGCATACCTTTGTCAGCAGTGTACGAAACATGGACAGGTGTTCCGTCTGGTGAGTTATAAGAGTAGCTGCCCTTCACGACCAGTGACCCTTCAGTTTCCCCTGGGCCTGGGGGGTCAGTTCTTCCTTCTTGAGCCAACTTGGTCCCGTCGGATAATTCAATGTCGTACTTGTAGTTTCCTTTCGCATCCAATGGTTCTCGGTGGTCTTTCAAAACGGAAACTTCCTTCGCCTTCCCCCCTGACAATGCGGCCCCCAGTGAGGGTTGTGGGCGGCCAGAAACCACTTCTAGCAGCACAATGGTGACAACAAGAGAAATTTGCGCAATTTTCAACATTTTCATGCTTGGTTTCTTGGTTGCTCGATAAGACCTGAAGCTATGAAGCTGTGATAATGATGGCTGAAGATAATTTGACACAAGCAGGATCTCCTATTTATACAGATCATGAAAGGGAATGTCCAATTCTTAATTGTTTTAGGAGTCACTTAAGGGACATTTTAATCGGAATCTTAAACAGATTGTGCAAAGTTTGTCACATCATATGCATAGTTAATCTATTTTTAAAGGTTACCCAAAAAATATCAATATGCAATATGACTACTTAAGCTCTATTAATTATACAAACCAAGTCCTACAAGCTCAAATATGAGCCACAAATGTTGTATACGAAGGTCACTATTGTAAATGTATATACAAGCATTTGGCTCAACTCATACATATTGGAGATAAAAAACCAAAAGTTTCATAATATGTCTAGATTTAAGATGCAGAATGTAGATTAAATGTGCAATGCAATGTGATTAAATTTGTATTCTTGAAATGTGTACATGGACACACATTTGCTACTGAGCTACAATCATCTAAGTGACATTTTGTGTCTTTCAAAAATATTTAAATTTTGTGTCTTCAAAATATTCCGCCTGGTTTATGCTCGCCAAGACCACGACAAGAATATACACTTAATTATCCCAAAAATGGGGAAAGAATCAATTTCGCACTACTGATGGAGTTGGTGCTTGGCGGAAGAAGAAGACCATGCGTTGCATAGGCAATTACGGATTCATGAGCGTGTTGAGGGAGGCAGGTGATGGAGTCAGCGTTGTTGGTGGGTGAGGGGAGTTGGCGTGGCGTGAAAGTTTTTAAACTAATGAATGTCACATCGTGTTCCCCTTGATTCATTTCATTCCCGTTTCCGCTCCTCCGAATGCCCAAGTTAACAGGATGTTTATCATTTAATAAGTGCAGCCTTGTATATGCAGATAGATAGCTGCCAGCAAGGGCCCACTAACAATATGAAAACTTGGCTGGCTGCAGAGTTGACAGAGTGAGAGCGAGACCAGAGACCACCCATCCCGGCTAAAAGGAAGTCGAGTCAATCTCGTGATTAAGAAGACTGATAATTAATTAATTTAGTGAATAATTAACTGACAGCCTGAGGTGGGTAAGCAAAGCCGTAGCTGCGACTATTATTGGTGAGAGAGAAAGAGAGTGCGAGACCCCATTTCCACGTTTTGTACTTCACGGTCCTTGTCAATGACGTTTTGTTTCTGTCATCCTGTCAACTCTCCCGTTCGTGGTCTATCTTATACATACGTACGTAAGCCATATATGTAGATAGCACAATCCCCAGCGTTTATCAATTTACGGTTACCACCAATTTAAGCCTTCCATTCCATAAATCTTCGATATACGTATTTATTACCCAACTTCTAATTACAAACTTTCAAACCTTTCAAACAAAAACTTTCTGTGTAGCCACATCGTAAATACATATTTACATGCATGAATCGTACATGCTGTACTTACAAATTTCATGCAGTACGTATTATACGTTACAACGTATGGATGGATGCAAAATAATCAAGTTTCCCACATACTACAGGATATCTAATTAGCAAAGTTTTGTGAGAGAACTTGTAGGACATGCCAGACTTTTATCCTATTATGGATCGCATGGTGTAATTTGTAAAGTGCCTTAATTGGGTTCGGAATCGCATATTCGTATCGCATGTTGCACCGTGTTTTACAGCTTTTTTCCAGATTATTATTTTCGTAGGTGAACTCAATAGGCGAAAAGGTATTATGTACGTACTGGATCTATGTATCTACGTATGTATGTAGCATAGCGGAAACAAAATAATATTACATTGCGAAACATTTCAAATCGATAACTTTCAATTCTGTGCTATTCAGTAATTCAGCTCCTCAGTTCAGTTACGATTTAGGCAGTCGTTTAAAAGTCGTTTTGGCTGAGTGTACACTATCATTCAGAACATAACAATTTATAGTCAAAACATTTCTTAGAAGTGGGAATTATCCTAAAACTAGTTGAAATTGTAGTGTAAGCAAATGGGACGAAATTGCTCAAACTTTAAGGGTGGGAGATGAAAGGATCGTTTCCAGAGTTAATTACCACCTTCAGTTACTACATAAATGAAGGAAATTGTAAACAATTTCGCTGTCTCAGAAATGAATGCGATGAAATTATTCTACAAGGACGAGAATGTTAATGAATATTGTACAGTTAAATTCACTATCAGAGAAAGAAGTAGTTTCATGCGTGTTATGCTGTCTGCTACGAATTTGCAAATAGTTTAAATACTCGATTCCAATTTCTTCTATTTTTGTATTTAAATTGGTACAAGACAATGGCGACGAAATATACAGATAAATCCATGAAATTGGTGTTATGGTCTAATTAGTCCTTCTTTCTAATATCTATGTAAATACGTTTGTATCAGCTACATACATAATTAACTTTTAAAAACGATTCCAATTTACCAGACGCTCAACCAAAACTCACAGCTCAACCATAAACCCCAACCAAACAAAGCAAAAATAAATAGGTTTAATCCAACAAAAGGTCTAAATTCAATCTGATCTGTTGCTGATGATGGTGCCGCTTGGTAGTTGCCCTCCCTGCTGAATCATACATAACGAACAATTTCATTCCCATATTTTTGGATGGTGTCAGCTTGAGGCAATTTTGTTTGAAATTGAAATCCTTTGCGGTTTATGGTCCTTTCAACAATATAAATGAGATGTGTAATGTAACAGTTGACAGTTATTGTTGTTTGCCCTTCATCCGTATACTCAGAAACGTACACATAGCGGTTAAGTGAAATGACATCTCGTAAAACAGGATGTGGGTGGATGAAAGTTGATGTTAATGCCTGAGCAGTTAAATGAAATGAAATCATTATGAAAGTGATCTCAGTTTGTTGATCGTACATGCATGATTTTTGAACAACTGCTATTCGGCTCCCTTTTCGGAAAATGATTTTTCGTGATGATCAAAGTAATTGTGATTTTTGGGAATTACAAATAATAGTTTGTGCAGACTGAAGGCCTTACAGAAAAACAAGGAAAGATACATGTTTGCTTGTTTTTAACCAACTTTCACCTCCATTAAATGGAAATTGTTACAACGCCGTTGCATGCACACTACTTGCATAATATCTGAAAACGCTTTACGCAATCATGCATCGCCGACAGTTACAAATTAAACGATTACTTATCGCTTGCTTATATCCCATCGTTTAATATAAAAAAATTTGGGAATTGAAAGCTTTCCCTCGAATTGTACTCAATATCAGTTTCTTCTTGTTTTTAGTTCATCAGCTCACGAAAATTACATGAACACATATTGAGAAGAATTTATCTACTACGAGCATCAAGAATGTGACCATTAAACTGTTTGTGTCGTTTCATGTCACCCTCGCATAAAGCCACAGAATGAGCCAACTTCTCCTTCGCTGATGGGGAAGTTAATGGGCATGATTCATCATAAAATAACAGTCGGGAGCAAAAGAGATATCCTCTGCATGACAGCAGTCGAAACCCGGAGAAGAATAATGCTAGTGCACAGAGGTCACAAGTCCAACTCTTATTCCGAGCCAACTCTCTGTGTCGTTGTCGTTCGTAATAGCTTATCAGTCTAATTTTCGAGCAACATTAGTCCTCCTTAAAAGAGTGAAACGTTGGTGCTTTCGTTGGTCCCACCACTGTTTATCAGCGTCCAGACACATCCATGGACGGCATATTTTATTCTCATTGCATGTGAAGGAAACCGAGGATGACTGACACGACAAAGTGGACCGAGTGTTGTTGTGGGTTGGTTGTGGTGGGTAGGATTGCATGCCAAATTCAAATTTCATTTGAACCCATCACTGCTCCCATTTCACCCAACACAAGAGACAAGGAACGATTGATTTACTGTGGCGATAACACCACAACAGCCTGAAACATTAAAAGTTGAATGGATACATAATGACTGGGGAGATAGCAGTTTGTAGTTTCCTTTAATAATCCCACTGAATCGGGAGTGAGCAGTAGTGGGAGAGTGCACGGATGGATGGTTGGAGTGCTCATAACCCGCACACCCGGGTATTAGGTCGGAAATCAACTACTAAGGAAATAATCGGGGCATCGGGCAGTCACTGGTGGTGGTGGTGGTGGCAAGTGCAGAAACATTACGTGAGACGATGACGATGCCACTTTCTCTGCTAGTTGATCGGGATGGTCCTTGGTTTTCTCACCCGTTCTACATTTGCTGATAAATAATCCCAAAAATTTCTCAATCGTCACTCAACAAAGTCACACAATTTCTACAAAAATGCACGTGCATCAAATACTGACCCGTGTAAAGTATCAAAATGATACGCTATTTCGAAAATATGATGTATTAGTCGTATTTGCTCAAATAAATATGTACGCCATACATATGGATATTGACAAATGTGTTGTTGTATGTGTTTGAGCTGAGCTTTTCAACTTAACCTAAATTCAAGGGGGAAAACAATAATAATTTCATTTTTCAGTAGCGTAAGCAATTTCGACATATGTCTCTGAGGGTAAAATAAGGAGGTAAAAGTTTGAAAGCTTTGAAGGTCTGTCAACTCGTACATTTTCTCTTTTCTTCTATTATCTGTCATCCTGAGGTTGAGTTTGGGTTTGGTCCATGTCCTCTCTCTCATTCTTGCCGTTTTAGTGACAAACAGACAGCCGCACCAGCAGAACCGAGCTTGAGTTGAGCCACTTCATTTCATTTTATAAGATGGCCTGCCATCGTCATTCTATATTACGACTACTGCTGGAGAGAAATAGAGATGGGATCAGTATCTTTGGGACAAGTTCGGAACTGTAAAGTGAATAGGAGAGGACAGCAATCGTGAGGATTATTGCGTGTGAAATGGGCCATTCTTCGCTGACATTGCCTTAACTCGGCTTTCCCTTTAACTTTTACTTGCCCTTAATATCATCTCAAAGTTTACTGTTCTTTTCTCCCATGCTTCCGCTCTAAAAATCGGTTGTGGTAAGTGTGTACTATACGCTCCTCGTGGAATGGATGGGTGGATGGATGATGACGGCAAATTTGTGTGGGTTTCATACTCAAAAAGGAAAGAAAATCCTCCGTCATAGTCAAGACCATCTAGCGCTCATGCCAATCTCGCCTTATTATTTGATAGAGCATCATCATCATTTTGTGATGCAGGCTCGTGACGAAAACGAAAATACAATAGAACTCTGCAAGTACGAGCTCGTATATATGTAGCAAAACTCATTCTGCTAAGAAATAATCCATTCCCAATTAATTGCCATTCTTCTTCATTGATGGGACAAAAAACGGCTAACGTACCAAGTTTTACATAATTGAGGACATTGGAACAGCATTTGCCCATTATTTGACCAAGAGGAGAGAAAGTAAATGTAATGTTGGCAGTTAACGAGTAAGCGGTATTTGCTGCAATGAACCAGGAATGGTTATGTCAAGATAGTGCAAATGTTAGATTTTGATAATGATCGGAGGGGGAGACAGATTCAAAAAGTTCCCCAGTTGCTGGCTGACACATTACTTTTATGGCGTGTTAGATTGCCCATATTATCCATCCCTGTCGACTCATTCACCAACCAACGTGAGGAGGAAAGGTATCTATCCTCCCGACTAATGGAGCATTTATTTAAACGTGGGCACACACTTTTTCCTTCCCATTTGCTCCTCAACTGACAGATAACAGGAAAGAATAGACGGCGCAAGAATAGTGCTAGTTTACTAATACCAACTCCGGCTTCATCCGTCGGGCCTTGATCCATAATATGAATATGGTCACGGGTGAACAATAGCAAGTCATGTCTTACTTTCACCCACATAGGCTTCCATTGCTGTGAAGAGGCTTCACCAACTGGCACGAAGACGGCGTCGAAATCAATCGACCTCCCCGAAAAAAATGAGAGAAAGCAATTAACCAGAACTTTTATTCTGTGATAGCAAAATCAGCCAACACCATCTTCACAAGTCCTCACGTCAATTATTCGCGTTCTAATTTTGCACTTTTAAAATGATTACATAATTGAGTTGCATTACTACAGAATTCACTAGTTAATACTTGTTTGCACCCTGTGCACGAGACAAACTTAAAATAAAATCTCATCCTCAGTAGATTTTGTACAAAAGTACACGACAGTAACCAGAATTAAATTGGATACTGTATAAAAAATATTTCAGTTTCTTGCAAAAAACATTGTAGATAAATGAGCCGTGATAATAAACGGCTGTTAGCTAAAAAACGACTCCGAGAACTTTGTAGATTTAAGCACAGCATGGCGACGAATCGAGAAATATCCAAGTAATAGAGGTGAAAGGAATTGGTACATTCTTTGGAACTTTATTCCCATTCTGCACGATGAGTCAATGTGATGATGCGATTCAATATCTGAGAAAGTTTATTATCTTCTTTACATCACATTAAGTAACCCAAGTTTGAACATTAAGTTTGTTCAGCTTCACTCCAACAAAATAAACTAAAATGGGATAGGCTGGTACGGCTTCACGACGCAAGTACGTTGCATTCTTGGTGATCATGATAATGATACACTCGACAAAAAGTTGATGGGTGCATCATAAAGAAAGATACACAAAATTCTGAAACGAGATATGTCTATACAAGTAAAAGCTAAAATTGACTTTGTCTTCATTTCTCTCCGCTGATGCCGTGTTGTGTTAAAGTTGGTTCAGTCAGAGCTGACAATGATGACGGATTGCGTTCCAAGCAGTGATTGTGGTTCACACAGGAAGATTAAAAATATCTTAAAGATAGCATTTCTTCGACGACGTAAACATATTCTGCAAAAAGTCTGTCGACAATTTTAAAGGTAGAACTATTAAATATTCTGAAATAAGTTGTTTTTAACGTAAATCTTTCCTGAGAATAACGAATGAATGACGTGGGTTCAGATTATGTACACACATACGTACATCTCAAAGAGCTAACTAAAACCACGTCGTCAGGCATTTTCCTTGCTAAAGTTTGCACGAAAGCTCAAAGCCCAAGAGAAAGTCCCTTCTTTACTTTTTCTCAACTTACTTTCATGGAAAAAGACTTTGCCTGTTGACACAGACGGAACTAAAACCAAGTGGAGCTTAAAATTTTAATGAAACTACCACTACAACTTCTTTTCTTTGTGCTTGTGTTGTACAGGGATCCTCCACTGTGAGCGTATCAGGAACTTCTGCTGGTGGTGGAGCGGACCCCCCTGATCGACCCACCTCTGGACCCGGCCACCATCACCATCATCATCACCACCCCCAACTACACTCATCCTCTAGTTCCCTCGTTTCAGGGGGGCCCATGACCTCGTCGGCCTCTTCGCCCCCCTCGTCCGCAGCAGCAGCAGTTGCAGCACACCAACAACAACAACAACAACAGGCCGCGGCGGCTGCGGCGGCATCGTTCCCTTCTTTAGGTGCATACCCATTTTGGTTCTTCCCTCCCTTCCTCCCAAATCCCTATGGGATGAACATGGGGATAAACTTTCCCAGTCACCCACCAACAGCGTCTTCTTCTTCCGGTGGACTATCTGCGGCAGCTCAAGGTAAGCGAAAGTATATGGCTAGATGAGCTGGTTAAGTACAAAAATATTAACCGTAGTTATATATCATAAATCAATCAATGCTTGTTTTATTTTGACAACAAATTCATAAATTTATAATATTTGGATAATAATAGCACCGTAACAAGTTCATTTAATAATATATAAAAAATGACAAATAGTTAATCACATAGTTTAACGACGAACACTTTCCGGTTAAGTTTAGTCTTTTCATCACATTGGTCAGTCTTTTGATTTGGATTAGCACCATTACGACTAGTTTCGGTAGAGGATTCAGAACGGTCAAGCGATTTCGTGACAACGCTGATGAGATCTGAAACTGATGGGACTCTTGCATACTCGACGCCATCGTCGTCATCATCACTGCTCGACTCTTCTTCTTGTGCTGATTTCTCACTGAATATGTCGAAGTTGGGTTCACTTTCTTGATCCAAGTTTACGTCCCCATTCACTTTAAAAGTCACAGGAATAAAGCACGGAATGTCTCCAGTTGAACTGCAAATTACACATAATTATATTACACACTGTTATATCACATATGGAAGGAACCTTTATAAAATGTATTCATACCTTTGTCGCCCTCTCTGCACCAGAAGTAATCGGTTAACGTTTTTGGCCTGTTGTCTCTTCTTCTTCCATGATTGCAAACGAGAGATCTTCGCCGCCAGGTTAGAATTTTCCGCCATGAGGATTGAAATCTTATCTTGTCTAGCCTGGAGTAGCTCCTCTTTGTCGTCTAATTGAACAGTGGCGGCTGGGTCGAGCCAAAGGTCATTAACTGATCGTAAGGCAGCTCGGAGTTGTTCCAAATATTTAGCGAGCCAGACGTAGCACTCCTTTGGTTTGACAGAACAGATCGATCCAGTTTCGTTACGCGTGAACCACTTTAGCTGCCCCGCGACCCACTTCGATGTTGCCACCATCCCTGTGACCTCAAACGCCTCCTCTGAATCGAAGAAATACCCGTTCTTGAACAGAGTCCTGTGGAATAGAAACATAATTATTTAGATTTAGAGAAGTAAAATATGACAGTTGACTCTCCAGAATATTAGTACAATAATTAATAATACACTCACCTATCTGTACAACCCTTCTCTTTGTTTTGGATAAGTAGTTTCCACTTATTTACTGCTGCTACTTTGGAATCTTCCTCGCTCAGGCCAAAGTAGACATCCACGATCTCAAAAGTCACTCCATCTCGCCATATGTATCCAAATATCTTCTTACAAGTCACTAAAAACCGATAAAAGCAGATTAAAAAATAAATTAGTTCATTTCATCATATTATTTTGCGTACATCATTTCGTGGGAATATTGTAATACAAATAAGACATCACATAGTTCTCATCATCATATGTAAGTATTATTGTTACTCACCTTGTTCCTCTTGTGTGAGTTGGACATAGGAAATATCTGAGTCCTTCCCCTTAGACGTATACCCCCACCCTGGCGAATGGCGTTGTCCACCCACTTCATCAAAAACGACTGGCGTCTCACGCCGAACAAGTTCAAGATTTTTGAACTGTTGTTTAATCAACTTCAAATAGTAATCACTTTTTATTATGGCACATGAAACAATTTTATCACCGGGATTTGCTTTGTATTGACGGTATTTTTCGAGATTTATCTGTGCAGGTGAAAGTTGCTTCTTCCTCTCTTCCGCTTCTTTGGTGACTTTCTTTGAATGTATGTTGGCAATATGTTTCCTCAAGTTACAGATGTTTACAGTAGAAAATGGACAATGTGGGCAATTTTTTTCCCAGTCAAAGTGTGATAAGTATTGTTATGTGTCCTTAAACCAGCCTGATTGGGGAATTTTTTGTCACAATTAGGACACTTTATCTTATATACGGCGTCATAATGTTCACGTCTTGAATGTAGAGTTAGAGCAGTCTGTTTTTCGAAAGTCACAGCGCAGAACTTACATTTTATTTTCCGTTTACCTTTTGAATTTTCATTCTGACTACTGACACAATTTTTTGTTTTCATGTGTTGCGTTAATAAAAATTTCGTGTCGAACTTATTGTTGCACATGCTACACACAAACTTTCCCCCATTTTCATGGCTTTTGTTCATGTGGTCCTTTAATGACTTTGTCGTTTTGTACTCCCTGTCACATAGACTACACTTTAGTTCTCTCCTATTAGAATTATTATTTTTCAAAGCGTTATCCATTTTCTGACTATTTTTGTTACAACTAATTAAAACTAAAGTGGAGCTACATTGGTAAAAGAGGGAGAGGAAAGACAAGGGATGAGTAAAGAATGGTTGGATTTTAGTTTCCCTCAATTTCTTCTTACCCCATTTAATGAAATGTTCACTGGATTTAGTTTCAAATTAAAACTTTTAATATAACTTGCTTTAATTCGAAATTACCCTATAACTAATTCCACGGTTGTTTTGCTAACAGCTCAAGCGGCCGCAATCTCTTCGTATCTCGGTGGTGCATCTCCCTCGGATCTCTTTCGAACAGACAATCTCAATCTACTCAGTGGGAGCATCACGTCCGCCGGTGGTGGGCGAGGTGGAGGGTCAGCACACAGTCCCCACTCCATGTCACACCCCTTTCCACCACCTCCTCCGCTGGGGGCAATGGATCATCACCATCATGCACAACACCACCTCGGATCCAAACTTTCAAATTCCTCTTCAGGGAACAAGCAAGGGAAGGAGTCCTCGTCTGCCCGGTCACCTTCTGGTGGTGGATTGAAGGACAATTCGACGTCATCATCATTTCTGGCGGCGGCTGCAGCGGCAGCATCCGCTTCTTTCTTGTTGGGTGGGAATGGTGGGTCAGCGTCACTTGGGAACCTGCCCTCCGCCAAACAGCACAATAACCAGCTCCCTTCACCCTCCTCCTCGTCCTCCTCTCATTACAACGTGAGCAGTAATAATCATAATGGGGTGCATCACAAGATGACGACGAAATCTCCTCCAGGAGGTAGCCACCATAGCACAAAGGGTAATAACAATAAGTCTAGTTTCTCCATTTCGAGGCTTACGTCTCCTTCTCCGTCGAGCAACAGCAGTGGAGGAAGTTGTAGTGGGAGCAATGTGGGCAATTCCAAGTTCCACGGGGGACATCACCAGTCACATCGGAGCAGTTCGTCGTCATACGAAGACGTAAAACCTCATGGACCGCAACAACAACAGATCCCATTCAGTGTTTACAACAGCAGCAAACCGGAGGAAAGTAGTGTCCTCAAATCTAATCTAAATTCTGGGCCAAAAATGCACAAAGACTTGCCCAACCCAAATAGCTCCTCCTCAAATGATGCTGGGCTCTGTGTTGATTTACGAGTTGTTCCACCGCCTCGGTCGATGTACACACAATTGTCAGCTTTTCGTGACCCTGCTGAAAATCTCTACAATTCATCTCAAGCTCCGAGGTATCATCAGACAACAACTGGTGTGATTTCCGACACTTTCCCTACACCATCCTCACAACCCCAGCCGAATCTTCCCTCACATCCACTCGGACTTTTACATCACAAGACACAGCAGCTACAACAACATGGTGGATATTCTGGAGTCCCTTTGCCACATTCTGCGTCGTCTACTGCTGCAAATGCCCTTTTGCTAAATGCAATGGTTGCAGCCAACAACAACAACTCTTCAACTGGAAAAAACTTAACTTCCACAAAATATGTCCTCAGAAATATCCAGCACATTTATCAACGCCTTCGTTCTTCTTCTCCGGCTTCCACCAAAGCCAGCACCACCACGACGAGTCCAAACCCCAACCAAATTACTACTACAAGTCATCCCATTAATAATCATCACTCTCCTCCAGCCAGCAACATCAAATCCAGGTCTCCGCCGTCTGGACAAAGCGCTATCAATCATCATCATCATCAGCCTCTGCATTCTGATAACAAAAACAACACTTTGCACCACAATAAGTCCAAGAAAACAAATAGAGATTCTCCCATCTCGGAGCAGAATAATGCCACCACTAACACCCCCATCATCACAAACACCACCAGCAATGGCAATACTCGGGCGGATTCCGAGAGCGAGGATAATAATATTATCCCAGACTCACGACCTCATTCTTCTTCATCTTCCACTCTGGATGACGATGACTTCAAGCCTGAGGCAGAACTTAAAATGGCAATGAAGGATAATACGCTTAACCTAACGCTAAACAATAATGTGGAGAAAGGAAATGAAATCGACGTCGAACTTTCCCCAAAACCAAGACCGGTCAAGCACAAACCAACGGAGGATTCTTCTCCTCTGGACAAGAAGAAAGCCAAGAGAAAGTCGTCGGAATTCACCACAACTGGCATTCGACTGCCCTCAACCAAAAAGAGAAAGTCGAGCTTCTCCAGTGGAAGCAGCATAAGTGGCAGTGAAAAGCCGCAGCAGGATGAAGAGGAGGAGGACGAGGACGATGCGAAGGATGTGGAGAAGAAAAATAAAGAGCCGATGCAAGTGGACAATCCGTACATTTTTATTGATAGCGAGGATCCAAAGGACACATCTGCCGTTAGTAAACCACCAAAGTCAAAGAAAATCAAGAAGGAAAACAACAATGAGATTGAGACGGGTGAGCAACTATCCGCCCAGCAGAGCAAAAAGCAGATTAAAACCTCAATTGCTAAAGTAAAAAGTGAGACTAATAATTATGAGGAAAGGGAGAACATGGTCGAGGAGGAGGACGATGAAGGCAGTGAAATGCTGAACGTTGTGTCTGAACCAGACACCGAAGAGCAGGCACAAGAGTGCTAATTAATTTTTATTCCAAGGATCCCATTCTCATTTTTCCAATTTGTAAGTTATATAGGCGTTACAGTCGTCGAGGGGAAAATTTTCCAGATTTTAATTACACGGAAACCATCCAGTGTACTGTGCATGCTGATTTTTACGTATGCATAATAACTATACAAATAATTAAAGATTGGAGGAATTTTTATTAAGGTTTATTTGTGAAAAAATTTGTATACATGCGTACAAAACATAAATGCAGACACCAATAATGCAAGTAATAACCATAAATATTGCTAAGTATAAACTCTTTTTGGTCAGATACAAATATATGACTCATAATAATAATCAGTATTATTAGATCAATATCAAACGGAGAGCCAAAATGGCAGCTATTGTGTTTTACTACAAATACAAACAATCTCGTGTCCTGCAAGTATTTAAGCTAATTTTTCTCATGCTAATGCCATGAGATAAATATTCAACCACAAATCACACTAAATACTTATGTATCAACATGGGATTAATACAAAGAATTCATTTTTGTGAAATGATAACAGCTAAACCAACCTAACAGTATGTAGATTAGAATGTGACAAACTTCTTTACATATAAAAAATACATAATAAACTCAATCTAATCATAGAGCTAGTCAAAATAAAGTTCAATTATAAAAATTGTGTATGTATTACTCACATTTGCATTCCTTTAATGAATAAATATGTATGAAATAATGTCAAATAATAATTTATGTAATGTAGCAAATGCGTCATGTACAACATACATAACTTTGCATGTGGTTTTACATAAATAAAAGATAAGTCTGCAAGTTATACAACATGTCATACACACAAAGGACAAGTTCCCGTATTACATAATTATGTAAGCTTAAAGTTCCAAACCGAATCATTCAATGTAAATATACTTACATGTATAAATATGTATTACAACATTTTTTAATTCCCAAGTCAGATACCTCAACATTCTTGTGCACATGCAAAGTCACCAGGAAAATAAATTAACTGGTAAAAATAATTGTATATACTAAATACGTGTTTTATGATTGGTCAAGTATGTTTGGATATGCTGGTAAATTAGTCGCTAGAAATATAGTTCTAATGCAGTCTAGTCTTTAAGTAAATTTGAAACATATGAAAAACATGCAGCCGTAAGAGTTACTGTACATCCTTGAATCATTAAATTGTAAATGTGAAGTAAAACAACAATAAAACTTCTGAATATATGTGATAATCAACACCTGGAGCTCCTTCGTCCTTTCTTTACGTAGAAATTAGACATATTACAGACATACCGAAAATAGGATCATATCAGTTGTACGACCTACTTAATATTGAGGGACCGATTCCTTTCAATCCCTGTCGACATTAAATGTTCAGAAAAATCATTTTTCATCGGGGTATACATTGCAGGCATGGTGTGCACATTTGGCGGAAATTTTCCGTAAAGAGATGAAGTTGTAGCATAAAATGGGTGTTGCTTTCTCTCACAACCATAACCTTTAAACCACGAAGGGTTGTCGAATCTATCGGGCAGCTTGGCTCCAAACTCTTTATTTTCAGGATAAACTTGTGTCGTCCGTCTTGAATCATTCCAGTCGGGCATTGGCGACTGTTCCAACAATTGATTATGTTGAGGACACAATGCAGAATTACACTGATCAGAGGCACCCTCCAAATCCAACTTTCTCCGTCGTGGGTCAACCAATTTGGTGGCAGTTGCAGTATAAGAATTAGGGTTGCGATGAAGTGATCCTAAGTCCAACCACCCCGGCGGTGCTGACCTGTTGGAGAATAATGTACGCATGTATGTATGTATATAATAATGTATGTATAAACAATGTATGCAAAACCAAAAAAAATCAGGCCCCTAATAATATTTGGACACTTTCAGACTTTAGTTTTAAGCACAAAAAGTACCCAATAATTCCGTGCGTTGGAAATGATTTTTCCGGTTTTAGGATACCATCGTCCATGATTTTGATTTAAAACTTGTTAATTATTATGATTACTATTCATTACCACAAAGTTAAGGTACAAAAAGTTTACAATTAATTTTTGCTTTTGCCGGAAAAGACGTAAGCTTGGGTCGGTATAAATACGTAATGACAAATATGTCTTCGGACTTTATTGACTAAACATCCCGATCAACCAAACTTCTATATATGCTTTACTATAGCTTATAAGTAAGAACGTTAACCTGCTTGTACTTATATTTAATGATGTTTAATACGCTTGTTATATTGAAGAAAGTGGCTAGAACGTAAAGAATTTCATGTTTTATAGTTTGGTATGGAAGAAACTAATCTAAATGCATAGTACTTATTAATTTGCGACAAACTGCATGAAAATTTTGTTAGGTTTCCTTCCACCCAAGTGGAAGGAATTGTAAGTGAAGATGATATAATGTGATAGTCAAATACGATTATGGATATTATGCAGTCGGGCTGTTTCGTGTATGGAAAGTTTAGCATCGCCCATATCATCCCTTTCTCCTTTCTCTTTGAAGGGATATTATATTAAATCCTGATATCTTCATCCGGCTCATTCAACCAAATTTTAACAGCCAAAATCATTTTTGAGAAGACTCTGGAATATCTCGGATGTAAATCAGGGGTGGGTGAAATTCTCATCCAACGTTCGGAACGTGAATACTGATACAAAGCTGCAGACTCGAATACATAAGATGATGACAATAACTCTCTCCTCCAGCCCCGAGAGAGAGGAGGAGGAAGGCATCACCATAATGTGTCACATCGTGGGTATAAAAAATAAAAGATACATTTTTCCGGCTTTAGCTTCACTACTAATTGCTATGTTATCTCAAAGGGCGATGAACAACATGAAGTGAAATGAGACGCTTAAATGAAGATTATAATAATAAGAATATGTTGAGAAAAGTTTTATTTTACAATTTTTATAATTTTGCGTGTGATAATTTTATGAGCTTGCTTGCAGTGGATGCTTCCAATCCTGCAAGTTGTTACGACCTCGTTGTTCTCGATTTCAAGGATTCTACATAAGTAGAAGACGAAGTGGAAATTCTAAACCCTTTTATGCCTTTTAAAAGCTTGTGGCGACGGAGAAAGCGAGGAAGGAGCAGCAGCGTGTGTGATGTGACGCGTGATGTGATACTTCTAGATTTTTAACCCGTGGATAGGAAGGCATTAGATGCAAAGCCACTGCTGCTGCTTTGCCACCACTGACGCGACGACTACTATCACGATTCAAATTTAAGATTCAACTCCCTCACCCAGATCCGACATCGACATTGCTTGCATTCTAACCAATTCTAATCCACCCTTCCATCCTCCTCCAGCCAGGAGTCGTTGTACTCGTGGTGTTGGTGGGCCATCAGATTGGAATCCTTGAGATTTGACGACGTGATGTGAAGATTCGATGTCGCTTTGCTATTCCACACAAGCTACTCTACATACATTTACAAATGCTCAACACTCTTCTCAAAAATGTTTCATGGTGGTGATGCTGGGTGGCCAAGTCGCAACGCTATTTTTTGGGCTGGGCTGCAGCTATTTCTTTCTCCTCTCTCGGAGGAGAAAGTCAAATCATGCAGATTTCCTCCTAGTTGGTCCTTGGTGTTACGGTGCTAAGTTAAAGATTTAGATCGCATCCTGCGCTACTCCTCCGTCTTCTCCCAAGAGTAGATTGTGGTAGAGATGCCATTTTTAAATTCTATTCACTTTCCTTTTCTCAGGATGGATGGAGCATGTCAGATGTTGCGCTGTGTATTATTTCATCTGCACTACGTACGCGGAGAGGGTTACGCCATCCTGTCCGTTTTAAAGGACTTTCTACGTATATTGTTTTATAATTTGGCCTTTTATTAATCTCTCACAAGGCCTGCTTGCATTATCACTTATGCAAATGCACAATGCCCCAATACAGGCTTGTCTACGTTTAGGTGTATTCACGTATGTAAATATTGCAAGCGAGAAGGATAAAAGTTTTAAACAACCAATGTTCGGGGTCATCTTTATCAGTAGTTATTGGAATAGTTGTAGTATTAAAATATAAATGAGTATCGAATTTTTTAAAGGAATATTAACTCAAAATCAATACTTGATTAAAATGTAGTTTGTCTTAATTGGTGAAATTTAAGATTTTTATTGCATGGATTGAGCAACAGGATAAAGATATGTGTACATGTGCATTAAATGATATGCTAAGAATTTATGCCAATTTAAGTACTATTTTCAATACTTAAATTCATCACTCCGCTTGTCTTTGCATGTCTCCTAAAATTTAAATTAGTATATAGACCGAATTAGGAGTAGTAATATAAAGTCGTACGTGTACATTGTTAAATTTATGCCACACTAGTAAAATGGAGAAATGGGGAGAAAGCGGCAGTGTATTTATGAATGTACCTTGTACGTACCTTCATAAAATCATTTTGTATTCTCATTTTTCCTCTCTTCTTCACTTCGCCCCTGGCTTTCTCATAATTTCTTTTCGGCTTTGTGCATGCACACACCACGCTCCAAAGTACTGCATACTTTTGGTAAGTCTTTCAGGCTATTTCGCCTTTCTTGTCCAATTTATTCCACGTGAAAGCGTTTTTTTAACTCGCATGCACATAATGCGATTCCTTTTGAATCTCTAAAAGTCTCGAATGAATATATTAACATTTAGCGGAAGATCTTACTTACCTTGGAATGGTAAGTAAGGTGTTTAGGTTTTAGTTTCCACGAAAAGTGGCGTTTCACAAAATTACACAGCTTCACACTTACACATGAAAATAGAAAGCATATTTTAGCATACATTTCTACAGTTGGACTCGGGATGTAAAGGAAAAATGGCACCACATATACTAGCAGATGGACGATCTTATTGCTTCATTTGAATAAAACTTGACTGGGTTCCTTATACTGTGAGATAATTCATTGCATTTTGGAAGATTCAAGAAATTTGCAATCACTTTTTCTTAATTTTATACATACTTAAATGAAGTATGAATAATAATACGTATTAGACCCCCGACGACTAGTAAGTACCTGCTACGAATGAATATTGACTCGCATATATAAATTTTAAAAAATAATTTAATTCGGGTTGTCGAGCTCCAAGAGAGAAAATAGCTTCCTTTTGATTAGTGGAAAATTATGTTAGCGTTCAGATTTGAGAATCTGAGACATTTTCGCCTCCGATCCCCACTCCTGATCTAATTATCGCTAGTTGGGGATGCTGTGTCAGTCAGACCGATTACGTGGTTGTCTGATAAAAATTAAATCCCAAGTATCCGAAATTGCTTCGCCAGGAAGTCATGATCATCAAAAATTGTTGGGATTAAATCCAGGTGAGCGAAGAGCGGCACCAAAATCTGATGAGCATGACAGGGTTGATGGTAGGCCTCCCGTCGTGTGGAGTGTAATGCACACCTTTCTCCGAGGAAGAAAAGTGGATGAGGAATTTCGTAAGAATGCGAGCACAGGTTTTCCTCGCCGTGCTTTCCCTGGCAGTTAGCTTCGTTTGTCCCATTTATTTTTTGTGAGACGTTGAGCACTTCACCACAGCCAGCAGCAGCACGACGACCATTGCTACATGCATACGCTCCCCTAGTGCTTCTCTATTATCCCTAATGGAGAACGGGGATAATTAGTGATTATTTTAACTTGGCGGCTGTGCAAAGTAAGTGGAATGGTGAAAATTGTCTTCATTTCTTCCATTTCTTTCATCTTCTCTTTTTTCCTCTTCCACTAATTGCACTCTCTCGGCTCATCTTCCACTTCTTACAAAGAAAACTCGCCTGCTTTCTCCCTTTCTCCCCCCGTTCCACAGCCAGCTACACAGAGCTTCCCGGATAATGAAGGTGGTGTAGGACAGCCAGGATAAGGAGGGTTTAGCCTCGTTTCATGATCAACCTTCTCCTGTTGCAGATAGATGCGAGCAAAAATCATTCCAAAGCTTTTAATCAACAGCATTAACTTCTTTCATCGTAACCAATGTAGGGTTTGAGTATCTATATTCTCACTCCTATGAAATCCAAATGTATAACGCGGCTGTAAGAAGTTCAATATCTTTGATGGAAACCTGAATTGTAAAGAGATTAATCATGAAATGAAATTTATCCATCACTTGTTAAGGTTATGAAAGTACGGAAATTATAGATATGAAAAATTAAGATTTCTGTTATAACATGCTTCGACAAAATATATTCTTCCTACATTTGCATTTAATGGACATTTAATCTCTCAAGGAAACTTTCCCTAATTTAGGTACTTTGGAGAATATCCGGGCTTAGAATCCGATTGTTGACACTAAAATCAAGGACAGACAACGTCCTGGAACTAACCCAGAATATATCAAAACCAATGAAGTTAGCCTTAGCTATTGAACTAGCATTATTAGCTGTATTGTTAATAATCTCCAGTACTTATGGTTAATTAGTATTAAACCTCTCAACTTTAATGACACGTGTGATAAAAATTTTGCCGCGGTATAGTTTTAATTGCTTGATCTATGTATTTATAATTATAAATTAATAAGTGATCGTGTATTCTTGGAAAGTTATAGAGGACACGCACGGGTAAAACTCTGAAATTCTTTTCCATGTTACATTCTACTAGCGAAACTACTTGCGTATGTACATAGTTGAAAAGAAGTGTGTACAATGAAACCATCACAATAAGGTTTGTTATTCTTCTCTTAAAGTTTCTGGTAGGTTGGTTGGTGCAAAATTAGAAAAGTCTTGATGTTTTTCCCCTTTATTTCCACTGACTAAAGTCGGTGAAATTTTGATAAAATGATAAATCTCTATCATGATTGCGGGGCATTTAGCTTGATTTAGGAATTTGATTATTATGACGGATACTTGCACAATAGACCCAAAACCTACACAATCCTTTTAATCAATCTCCCTCAATCCAATTTAATTCAGTTTAATTCAACCGTCCCATTTTAATTCTTTCTCCTTCATTCAACATTCCACCAACTTCCCACTTTTTTTCCTCGTGCTTTCTTTTTTTCTTTCTTTCTTTCACTCGCTCGCTCTCTCGTCTCATCTCACTCGATCCTCTCCCCTCAAGTCCTCAGCCAGCCAGTCTCAACCAGCGGATGGAATTGCAGATTCCAAGAAACTTTTCGATTTGATCGCCTCGCTCTCTTTCTCTCTTTCTCTCTTGGGTCTTTCAATGCAAACCAAATAAAGCCGAGAGATGGGCGGTTTTGATTGAGGATTTTACGAACGCGTAAATTCTGAGAAATGTGTAATGAGGCTTCCTTTTTTATTGTGGTTAAAATTAAGCTGGCATTCGGATGACAAAAAATAAATAAATACATTTCAATTTACTCGAGAAAGTCAAATTGATTAAAAATATGTTGGTGCATGTATCAAAGTACAATTGCTCGAGTTCAATTTCTTGATTAATTTTCTAACTGTGTATGTAATTCATCGACAAAAAGTGTTCATACATATAATTCAAGGCATTTGTAATGAGTATATTTACTTTATTTTTGTATATGCGTACAAGGAAAGGAAATGAAATAGAGAGTATATAGACAAAGATGCGGAAATAATATATATTTTTGGCATGTTCATTCCAGATAAAAAATGTCGAGACGAGTGAAAAGCAAGAGAGGATTTTTTTCCACAATGCAGAGACTTCATTTTTGGTGCTCTTCCATTTGTGTCGATTTGAATTAAGTTTGTTCATCCATTGATGATTCTGTTCATCATTCGGTAGGTAGCAAGCACCTGGTTGCCCTCCCTGGCCGCTATACAAAGAGAATAAACAAAAATTGAACGAATGATACATTTTCATCACAAACCATGTTTAGTAAAACCCAGTTTAAACTGTAAGTATTCACATCGTAGATAGTCAGCACACGAAAGCTTTAATGTCAACATAATTAAGCCTCATCCAATTAACTGTTCATAGCCTTTACATATTTTGCACCCAGAATCCATTCTTTGCGGGCCAAAATTCTATAGTCAATCTATGTACGCAAAGTATTAAGATGCTAATCAAAAATAAATACTTAAGAAATTTAAAATCAAATTCCATTCCAAAAGTCTAGTGGAAAGCCATGCATGTAAAAATACTAACTGAATGTACACAAGCCACAAGTAACTCATCATCAAGTGATTCGCGTTATCTCACCCTATGCGTGCAGTCTTAAATTGTTTTTTGTAGCAGGCGAAGAGAGAGAGACAAGTGACTCCTGAGCAAATAAATGGAATAGAACAAAAAGAAAGACAAGCAGCCAAAAACGTTAGTTAAACCTTTTTAGAATCGTGGCAGCAGCAGCAGCAGTGGGAGAAATAAAGAGAGAAAGAAAGAAGGAAAGAAAGAAACTGTGAACAGTTGAGCACACAAAATTGACAATTTCTCTCTCGAGATAATGGCTTCAGGAAGTTAAGTGGAGAAAGCAAGAAAATTCATGCCAAGTTTTTTTGCTTAATGAACTAAAGAAAGTGAGGGATTGAAGGCAGCAGCAGCGGACTGGAAGAAGTGGAGGGAGCCAGAATAAAGAAAAAGAGATTCTTTTTAATAATATAATATAAGGTTGAGTCGCATATTTTCTTAAATCATTTTAAATGTGGGCTAGTTATGACGCCATAAAATTTTGTCTACTACTGCGACTTCAAATGCACTTGTATTTCCCATCCCCATTAATGTCAAGATCCTTTGAAGCCAATCTATCCAAGGCTTGGCTGATGTATTTCTGGCAACACCTTATAAATACATTCCTGTGATCGCTCTGTGGTGTTATGAAATACATTTTATCACCAATGCTGAGCCGCATTTAAAATTTAGTTTACGCTCCTCGTGCTCTGATTTTTCATAGAAATTATGGGAACATTCCCGTCCGTAAGCCTACATACTTACATGCTAGAAGTTATTATAGAATGAATAACTGTTTGCCGGTCTCGTGTTCGAGCTGCTTTTTATTCTAATGCATGCATTTTTATCAACCGTTACTTATTCGTCGAAACTAATTCATGTTTGCATCTAAAGTTTGCACTTGAGTGGGGCATTTAGAATCATAGTCATAACAATAAACATAATATCCACCTTTATGGGTAAGTACTCAGGAGTGCGCGGAGAAAGCCTTGCTGGCTTTTATAGTTCTTACGATTTATGGTATACTCCTTGTACACACTTGGGGAGGAAGAGCCTTAAAAAACCGGCGAACTATATCGGACATGGACTTTCTTAAATGATAACAACTGGAGTGGAATAAACTGGGCGTGTAGAAAATGGTACAATTGAAATGACTGAAGTTTAGGCTTGAGCAGCACTTTCATACGTATACAAAGTGAGATTGAAGCAGCACATTGAAAGTCTTTCTCACTTTTAAAATTTTTCTCAAAATAGAAAATGTTCATTCTCCGAGTGCAGAGTCAAGTTGTTTCGAACCATGAATTTTCCTGGTGGGTAGAAATTTGAATACGGATTTTGAGTATCCCACTTGGACAGCTCATTTCTTCCAATCCTTGTCTATGCAAATGGGAAAAGAAAATCCCTACGGCCAGGCGTCAGTTAAAGCAAGCAATGCAAACCTCTAACTAAAATATTGAGGTGAGATTCAGAATTCCTTGGACAGAAAAGCTTTTCCTTCCATGTATTTTCCCTTTTGCATTGCATCGTAAACAGCCATAAACCTTCACGGAGAGCCACAGAGACAAAACCCCAAAGTCCAAAAATATGTATGGTGGGCTCAGCGGTGGGACGAGGGAAAAAACCAGAAGATGTGAAATGTCAAATATTTTGTCGCTCGAGTCGGTCCCATGTTGTTGTCGAGGAGGGCGAAGGAAAACGCAATGAAGAGTTCAATTTATTCGTGGCAAGAAAGAAATGCATGCAGTAGAAGGAGAAAGTAGAAGGAAAACGCGTTCATGGAAAGTGGGCGACCGACTATCAATGGGCTTCCAACGAGAGAATGAATGCAAACCTGGATCCACAAATAAAGCCCCCGTTTCATATTTATCTATCTCGAAGCCAGAACGCAATGGTAGTACAAAAGTCAAAGTCAAGCTGTTTTATCTTTCGATTGATTTGATTCACAAAGAGCGTCAATCTGAGATTTTATACTTTCACAATTTCCTTTGTACCCTTTCTCGATTGATGCATGGAGAAAGTAGGAGCTTCATACAACCCAAACTGTTTGTATGTATATATGTACGTGCAAAGCGGCCATACCACATAAAGTAAGTACATCCGCATAAACAAGGGTATCTCTTAAATCTTGGGACCAGACAAAAATTACTTATGCACATACATACAACAAGAGTTAAATATCTTATATGGAAGCTTTCATTGCAACAGTCGATAGACAAATATGTAAAATCACATAATTTTGCCCTCAATGTCTTTCTCTGAAGATAAAAATAGTAAATGCGGAAGAATGCACTCACAGTAGAGCTGATTTAAGTAACCCCACCTTTAAAAAAGAAAAAAATCAGTTGCTTAAAAAGTTGTCAAATTCTGGTTTGATAACTAATTTTTTTAGTACCAGTCCCAACACCCATTTGGATTCCCAAGTAGAGTACTGCAGAATAAAAAGTTAAGTAAGGCATAATTCATTACACATGGAGAAAGTCCAGAGGAATATGATGCATAGTTCTAAAGTTATATTTCTGTGTCTACCTGGCAATGGTCTGTGGAAATAATACCACAATGTTGTTCAATTCAGCAACCTCCAAGTATCCAGCTCTTCTAGCGTAAACGTCCCCAACAGCAGCCCTGTGGTTTAAAAGAAAAATTAATTGAGCCAAATATGACCAAGCATGGAAGTTTAAAAGTGCAGAAGCTTAAAAATTATTTTTCTATCCCTATCGTCTCATTTGTTCAGCTTATTTTGACACCCGTTCCTTAACAGGTCTACTCAATACTCATTCTCGAAGGTGAGACTCTTTCAATAACTCCAATCGTATGAATGCGCAACGAATGGCAACGATGGTAAAATGTTGTTCAGTCATTATACATATATGTAATGACCATTTATATATCTAAAATTTAGTAAGTAATTTGTGGCTCACCTATTTTGAACACATCCGTGGAAAGCGATGTGCAATGCACATGGGGTCGTCTTGTCAATACAACCAGTGGGGACGTAGACCTACATACATGCAATTATTATTACACGATTAATACTACAATAAAACACGTTTCAAAGTGTAGTGATGTAGATATAAAATATGTACACGTACATAACCTGCAGTATCCATGCTCGATAAGCTTGGTGCGAAATTAAAAAATTCTGATTGGCTAAACAAAATAAAGTCGCCGTTCGCCACCGTGTTTCCATCTGGCCGTCGCAGCGACCCCCCGTAAAGGTGGTTCAACATTTCGAAAGCCCCCTGATAATTGCAATTGCTTATCCATGCAGTATTCTCTGCAGAACTACCACAGGCACTACCGTAGTTATTTGTTGGCTATGCAATATAATCATGCAATGTTTAGACCATAGTTTGATTACAGTAATGCAAATGCACATACCTGGGCATGATCACTGGCAATATCAAATTTTGATACAATTCTAGCTCCGAAATGTTGGTACACTTCACGAACATTAGGGCCCGATCCTGCAACAAGGCAGTAAATAACAAAATAAAAACTGAACAAACCGAAAGGCGATTTTGCAAATTTTTTCATCGCAGTCTCAAAATATTTATCTTACCAGGACGAACGACTGAGTCCTGTGATCCATGATAAATGTAAACCGGATCCCCTTGCACGTTATTGGGGTTATCAATATAGCCTTGACTCGCCATTGCATTAGCCTCACTAATCAGGAATGGTATATTCACCAGATTTGGCGTTGACATGCAAGTGGTTGCGGCCGCAACCCCCCCAAAGCCACACTGAATTTTTATTTATTTCATATCGTTTTAGTCATTTCAATTTTGTAAGTTATATTTTGTTTAGCTTAAACTAAATTTTACCATGTACGGCACTATAAAATGTGAAAGAAAATTTGTTAAGATCCGGTTAACCACATATTTATGCTCGAAACTGAAAGTTATTTATACCCGTTGCGTACACTCCAGCCCCGTGCACTCTTGTCGAATGAGCAAAATGGTACTGAATAGCCATGATGCCTAATACACAGCAGATCTATATAATACCTTGTAGTTTCTTTATATAGTTAAGTCTTTGCCATACCACCAGAAGATATCCCCGAAACTGTAGTCTTCGACGGGTCAATATTGTACCTTTCTGCAAAAAAAATTAATTTAAAAATTGTTCCTGAAAATAATTACGTAGCATTTTCTTGTAGGGAAAACTTGGTTTGGTCTCGGTATTTACTTACGAAGCTGTTGTTGAGCGTTGGTTTGAGAAAGTGAGAGCACCAGAAACAGTGCGAGTAAGCCTCGGCGTGCCATAATTGCGATGCGATCAGTGTTCGACTGGGGTGTGGTGCGGTGTCACAAGGAGTGGATCGAGGTGTGTCTGGTGGCGAGGTTATCCACACGCCTGCTTAAATACTTTGGTGGACACATGGAATGATCTTGGCATTGCTGGTCACGGCGTGATAAGTATCTTTGTTATCTATGTGTCATTGGATAAGTGCGTGTGTATCAGTGCAGCATTATCGAGTAATTTATTTTTAAACATCTCTCCCATCCCTGCTTTTGTAATTCAGGAAGGTGTGCTAGGGCTGGAACAAAATGTTCAGCATGTCACAGAAAAAAATGTCACTGATAAAACATCAGATTTAATCTGCATCGACATTACGTATGCTGTGGAAAGCCCTACTACTGCCGATGATACCTATTGTACATTTACATAATAATATATACATAAGAATCACGAGGACTAGAAATGAGTCTTTATCACATTCACCTGTTGTAGTAATTGTTGTAGTTTACAAGCCATCGTATTTGTGGAATGCGATATATTACTTACGACTTGTACCAATATATGGTTTGGTTATATAAACGATTAACCAGCAATAAGTCTTAAATATGCATATGATTCATTCTGAAATACCAATTGTATATACAATTCAGAATAAACATCAAAGTGCTAATGATGTGCTGTAAACTAATTAAAATAAGTATACATATTTTATCCAATTACTTTTAATTCACTTTCCCTCTCGGTTTCAAAGGGTCTTTTTGTTTATTTATGTGACTTGTGCCTTTGCACGTCGTGCATATTATTCTCTCATACATAATCTCATCCCTTTGGTGTTTGCGCTGTAAATTATTTTGATACGTATGTTCACACTAAAAAGGTCTCTCTTTCCTTGGTTAGCTTAGTTATCCGACATTCCCAACACTTCAAACTCCACATGTATCCTAGATTTTGGAACTATACGCATACATAACGGGCACCACGCCACGTCCGCGTCCACATCAGCGTCTGTACATATATAGCAACAACAAAAGTAATTCTTTATCACGGTTGGTTGGCGTGGTTGGTGCGTAAAGTTGTTGGGCTGCTGCTCTGAAGTCTGAAGAATGATGATGATGACTTGAGCTGAGCTGCTTTGACTTGGTTTTCAGTCGCTGGTGGAGAGAGAAGCAATATTTACCCAGTTTGCATAAAAAGTAATCCGAGCCGACTTCAAAATTGGAAAAACAAACTTTCATCTTTTCAATTTATTTTGTGCAAGAGGAGCGAGGTCGTTTCACTTCCTTTGATTTCCAGACTCCTCCTTCGCTCCCTCTCCGTTGTTATTTGTCCTCCAAACCAAACCAACAACCACGGAACGAGGAGCGTTTAGACTGAAACGTCGTCGTCGCCCCTGTCTCATCCTTCCTTCCTCTCTCACAATTAGTTTGGATCACTAGAATACAAACATGTTTTAATGCGCTACTAACACTACTTAAGTATAAGCAGAACCGATGTCGTAACGTGTAAAATATGCCAATATTTATTTGTATTGCCGACTATCACGAATTATGACGCATGGGGAATTATTAATCACAAAGTACTTGGATCATGTCACATGAACCATTCATTCCTGTTCAATTCGACATGAGATTCGTCAAGTGAGGTTTTCATTTATGTAGTAGCACCTCTTGGCAAGGAGGAAAGTATGAGAATAAGCAAGCGAATATGTAAGTTGATCAATCCGATTTCAAGGAGAAAACTCAAACACTCAAATGTCAATTGTCTAGCACTTACTTACTTGCGTCTCGCTTTGGTGATACATACGCATACTTAACTGCACTAACCTCAGCACAAATCTCCACTAACAAACCCGATTTCAATTATTGCGAAATTAAAATGTCTAGTGCAACAGGTTTTTTTCCAATGTAAAATATTTGCTAGAGGCGATATTTTGCATATTATTATACTAATTATTATATGTAATAAGTTGTGACAACTGGCACGGGTGACAAGGGTTCCAGTGCAAAAGCCGAAGAGGAAGGACTAGTGTTTGACAAGGGAACCTGAAGTACTGTCGCATCTCGATTTCCTTTCGGATAGTCTTAATTGGTAGATATTTTAATGTAACTAAAACTGTCATAGGACATACGGTGCAAAATCAGGTTTTTGAGAAATATTTGGGGAAAGCTGCATCAAAACGTGCAATTTTTCCAATGCTTTTACCATATATAACAACCCTCGGAATAATGAAATGAAGTTTATAAATTATATACCTGTCCGCAATTTCATGCTGATCACCAATATGCAAAAACATGCAAATATTGGTCAATTTCTTTCTCAAATTGCGAAAATCTGCAAAAGTTTCTAAATTTGAATTTCGTCGTTTTTTGAAATTTCAACAAAGTGTAAGTGTTAAACACCTTTTATTTAAGCATTGCAAAATATATTTCAAAACCGAAATTTTTTCTTATTACAACAAAATGGGCGAAAATTTTCAAAATTGAAAATCTCCATTTTTCACAAAATAGGATATAATGACCAATGCCAGTCTATCTTACTTGTTTTTTCAAAATTGTTGGGTATATTTATTTTTGCAACTTGCTAAAAATTTTGGAGATTTGTACCGTCAGTTTTTAACATATTCAACAAAATAACTGTTCCATACCCCGTTCGAGATTTTTAATTTTTTTGGAAAACTGGAAAAAATTGCATCTGTGGCATATATATAGGACGTCCAATGTTGGATATAAGAAAACAACTATCTGGGAGCATAATGGTGAAATAAATTTCAGAATAAGAGTAAAATTGGATTTTTGGCGTGGATTTGAGTGAGTGAAAGCTTTTTTTGGGCACATTTGAGTGAGTGTGGTGGGCGCAAATGTGACCATGGAGTCAAACCACTTCAGGGTTCTTGTTCATACAACATATCCAAAGGACATCAAGATCCGTGAGTTGATAGTACACAACCTCTCCTCCTAAGTTATTTTTTAGTAGAGAAAGCTTTTCTCCTCCTTCTCTCAGTCATCCTCATTCTTTATTCAACATATCGTGTGGCGTCATTATTGTCATCACGAGCTGAGAATTAACCATGCAATTTAAAAACAACAATAGTAGTAATATGAGCATAGTGAAAATTATATCACCTCGAATCAATATTTATGCATGTATTTATATTGTATTTATTTATGAACAGAATTTTTTCCTGTAGTTTTAGGCATGAGAACGTGGCAAATAATTAATTACTTTGTTCCACTTGAGAGCGACTTGAAGTAATACACTGTCTATGCTAATTTATGCCACTAGTCATAATAAACTAGAAGCAGCACTTTAGCTCGAATTTTAATTAATCTTTCACCCTTTTCAACTATGCAGTAGCGTTAAGCATTTCCGTTTGATGTTGTTTGCTCTCAAATTGCATGCACTTACTTATGGCATCAAATCAGAGCGAAATTGTACAGACTCCATGGATTATGGTCTCATTGGAATTGTTGTTGTTGCCTTGTTGTCGTCTGATTCTTCATTCTTTTTTTCATGAATTTCAATAAAAACGGAAGATGAAACGAAACTTGAAGCCACTCAACTCACTCAACAACTAACTTCAAAGACCTCAATCTGTCTTCTCTATGCGAAGGATTGGAAAGTTTAAATACAATAAAAATTGGTCCAGGAATTTGTTTTTTAAAAGAAGAGAGGCTTCCGAGGAGTCCTTGTAGTCGTTCCCTCTCCACTTTCACTTGTCACTTGACGAGATGACGAGGACGACTTTCATTTCAACCTCCGACGTCGGATCTATCTATGCATGCTTTTTACGTGATTTTATGCAAGAAAGAACGAGTATAATTCAGCCAGGAGTGAGTAGTAAATACAACAAAACACACTTATTATGAAGCCCAGGGAAATTGTCGTCCTTTTTATCGTATCTCATTTGACCCTACTTTGAAGAAGTAAGTGGGGAAAACAGGGCTTGGGATTCCACAAAGGAAATTCTTTTTTCCCATTGTGTGGGCAGCAGATGCAATCAAACTCTTTTACTCTCTTTGGATCTGGCTTCACTTTGATTTAACAGATTGATTAGACTCTCTCTGGTCACATTGTTCAAAAGGACAAAAGATTAAATCACAAATTTTCTTTTAACTTGATTTTTGATGATGTCCACGCTTGGGAAATTACTTGATTGTAATGCATGTATTAAATTAAATTTCACATTTTAAATTATTTTATAATGGATAAGATTGACTTATGACTGCCCCATTGACAAAATGGTACATAAAGATTTTTAAAAAAATGTAAATGTTTTACACAAATCGTATTTGATAAACGACTACCTATATAAGCTACAAACTTCATATTTGGCCAACAAAGATAATACCTTAAAACATAATTGCTTGCAACAAGATTGAAATACAAAATCCGAATGGAAATTAAACAAAAAATTGTAACTTTAATATATGTATATTATATAGAAAAATATGTCAGTATTCATTTAGCCTGGTGATATTCCTTCACAGCACAGCAGCAGAAGTCGGTGGTACTTTAGTCGATACTTTAGAGGTTCAAGCACTCACTTCAGTATTGGTCCGACGACGAGATTGCTGTAAATGTGATAATTTTTGTTAAAATTAAAGTTTAAATTAAATGGATCGGGAATGAGATGTCGTATTTTAAAATATTTCAAATCGTTTATTACCTCCATCAGTCGGCGCTGTTCATTAATAGCTGCATGTGATTTTGACCTCTCTTGCTCTAATTGAGAATGCAACACTTGAATTTGCTCCTGCAAGTCTTCTTGAAATTTCGTGAGGGTTTCAACTTGAAAAATTATTTTCGCCTTATCCTTTACTATATACACAAAAAAACCATCCATTTAAAAAATGAAGCCAGACGGAATGAATTTAATTATCTACAAATTTGTCGTTTTTGAGCCTTACATTCTTGGGCACCTTGGAATATCTCATGAACTTTCTTCAACCGAGCTTTGTAAGATTCCAGTTCACGATTCGAATTTTCCAATTCGCTTTTAAGTAGTTCATTTTCAGCTCTTAGATTTTCGATCGTTCTGTTTTGTTCGTCATATTCCGACTCCCTTGCTCGCTCTTTAGAATGAGGGTGCTGCAAAAAAGTTATTAAAATAATATTAGAATAATATCACATAGAAATGTTGCAGAATTTATATTATTTTATGCCTTATAGACCCCTTCAGAAGAGGTACGCTTTGTTGATGCATCTCGTTGTTGTTCCCTTTGTTTCTCACGCTCAAGTTGCAACCGAGCTTGATTTCTATAACTTTCAATTAGTTCTTCATCAGGCTCATCGGCATACGGATTAGCAAGCTGCTTAGCAGCATCCTGCTTTGGGTTCTATATGAAGGTTGATGAGAATGGCATTTAAATACAAATAATTTTGTACAAGTGATTGGACTGTTAGTATTACATATTTGCTTACATTCAACAACAAGGCATTGAACTCAGTTAATGGCACAGTAATCCCCTTCTTCTTGACTTTGCTGGACTTTGCTGCAGCCTTTTCTGATTCTTGTCGAGACAACTCTTTTTGAAAATCTAGCTGGGATTGGAACAAGGCTGCCTCCAAATCAGTCTCATACTCCTCGTCAACAAGCTAAATGCAATGGTAGATGGAATAGTTATAGAAGAGTACTCGAGAAGATGTAAGCTTAATCGGCTTAGTCACAGCATTATTTAGATAAGCTAAACAAGTTTTTACATCAGTGTCCCGTCGTTGCCAGTCTTCCCACTGAGCTGAAGTTTTCTTAGCACCGTTAACAAGTGGTTTAGGCTGAGGGGCAGGAGGGATCATGGCCTTCTTTTTCCCATTTTCGGAGGCACTTCCAAAGGCTAAACTTCTGAGGGACTGTAATAATATCAAAGGAATTAGTTATATACACACCCAATGTAATAAATGGTCAATGATAAATACTGAATTATTGTTTAATAATACCTTTCCTTTGGCTGCCGATCCCTTCTTTTTTGCTGCGTCTCCTACAGGTCCAACCTTAGCTTTTTGGTCAGCTGGCTTCTTCTTTCTCGGCTTGTCCCCCGAACTTTTTGCGATAGGTTCGGGTACGTCATCCGGAAGGACAGCAAAGCGAGACATTTTCGGTTCGAAAGTCATGTTTTCTGAAAGTACAAAGTAGCAAGTATTATAATCCGTCCAGTAAAACATTGCAAAGTTGAAAGTACAGAATTTAATGAAAACAAACACACAGTTCATTAAACTAACCTCTTTTTGAACTGCTTAGATATTGACCAACGTTATTTTAGTTGAGCTGAATTAGGCCTTTTGAAGGTACAAGATGCGTGAAATGTAATTATTTAAAAAATGGAAAACAGGAAGAAATGGTGAGAAATGTAGGAATCAACAGCGAACGGCAAACACGAGTCACACAAAACACGAGTGAAGTTTTTGAATGAGGAGGAGTGATCCACACTGAACCAAAGAACCCGGTTTTTCGTTGACACAATCTCAATGCGAGGTTTGATATGAAAGCTATCCTCTACAGAATTATTTATTTCACATCATGATAAAAAGGTCACATTGAATAAAATTACTCAACAAAATAACATGTCAACAATCCAAAACATGATTCGGCCCATTAAATTAAATCCGCATGAAATAGATAATTAATTTAGGTAAAAAAATGTCGAAATATCTCTCGGTCTCATCATTCCCAACAATTCTCAATCTAATCCTAAGTTTGGTCGCCGGGAATGGATTTTTCCACACACTTTTAGCTTGTCTACAAAAGTTTCTTGTTCTTTTACACCGTCATGAGCTTTCCTTTTCTATAAGTTTTGTTGGTAATTTTTAGATTGAAATTAGGAGATACATTATGAATCTATTTGGAGAGATTGGACACCTCATCACTAAAATTGTCCGCAGAACAGGAACGCCGACATCGTCCCCGGCTTTACTTGAAAACTTATTTAACTCCGGGAGATCATTGGTCTCATGTCCACAATGTGAGGCTATAAAAATAATTGTGTGCAATCCGGTTGCAGGTTCAAATTACTATTTTTATAATACTGATTTCATTGATTTATGTAGATTTTTATCAGCCTTCAAGAAATGCAGGTTAATATAATAGTTTCTCATATATATTAATATATTATCAAATTATCAGAGGTGGGCAAGATCTTGATATCTTGCCACTTGGAGGATGTTGATAACTTCAGTTTTTATAAAATACAAATTTTTGGTCATATGATCTTCAAGCTAAATAGCATGGAATAAGATGTACTAAATAGTATTGATTTGTAAGAATACATTTTTGAGGATCTTGCCCATCCCTACAAAATACTACAAATAATTAATTACTAATCATCATGTTTTGAGCTGTCCACTAAAATTAGTCTTACGTAGGTCACAGTAAATGGGCAAATATTAAGCATACAAAAATGGCGAAAGATATGGAAAAATCTAGTCTAACAGTTAGATTTGTGAATATGGTAAGCATATTATATCACGTTTTATTTATTAATTATGCATTAGTGACTTTATTTTCGTTTTTCATAAATTCAGATCAAGATTGCTATCCGAGGTAAATCATCCTGTTTAATGGTCTAATGCAATTTAATCTGATCGCCGCAATGAATTGAAATTAACATATCGCCACACTCATCTTTTTAGAAGGAGGTGGGAGCACAGACCCAAAACTAAATTCTAAACTGGCACAAGTTATATCGCAAATTAAGGTTAAAAATTAATATGATAGAAATAAATAAAGCATAAAATAAATTACACACAAATAACTAGGATAAAAAGCTACCAATGGCTCCGTATGAGAAAACATTGGAGAGAGAAGCGGTATGGATTATATATTTGTAATACGCGATTATCTATAATCTATACAAATTGATTACGACTCTTAACTGTAATAATATATCCGATTTATAACAGAACCGAACCAATGAGAAACGACAGACACTCGTATTTAGGGGACCTGGAAATTGTGCTGTACTTGCAGACATCAGTTCTGACAGTCTAAATAAAACTAAGCAAGAGATCAACACAATTTTGAGGAAAAATAGGGCTGTTATTGGTGAAGATTCTATACTTCATCTATTTCTCCATAAAGGGATTATTCTCTGCAACGAGCTCAATGGCAAACCTGCCCACCCAGATAACTTGGATGAAGTTATAGAGGACGCAATCAAAGCTGAAGGCAAGAGCATATAATCATATTACACATATTCAAAGGATATTCCCCTTTAGTAATTAAAAAATTATCTTAAAAAATAATAACGTAAATACTTGTCCAATACTTTATATTTCTTCCTTGTCAATATTCTGACCATATTCTCATCAACTTTGCGATTATGAGAAAATAACTAATAACAATGACTTTATATTGCAGCTGACGATGTTACATTTCAAACAGGACATCCAGATTTTGGTGAAGTATACGAATTTTCGACTTCCCCAGATATATTCTTTAAAGTCAAGCATGCTCTAGAAAAGCTAAACTATACTGTTGTCTACGGCGATATTGATTATGTTCCCATTAATCCCATAGAATTGGATGAAACAGTTATCCAAGATGTTCATAAATTGTATCAAAAGTTGAGTGACCATCCAAACGTGGTCAAAGTCACAACCAATCTAGCCTAGCATGATTGACAATGATTTAATAGATTCATTGAGATTCATTGTTTTGACCACTCTACCAAAGAATAAACAACGCAGTGCGCAAAAGAGTTTTATAGCGATTTCCATAACATAACCTTCAATTGTAATCAAAGTCAAGTGAAACTTATCCTATGCGTAAATATTCCCATGAATGTTGTATTGTTCATTGTATTGTTTTAGGTGACAGTTGAATAATGAACGATCATCCTCTAATTATGCATATCATATACCATGCATGCATGAATACATATAAACATGCAAATGGAATTGAGAAGAAGAACTTGACATTCACCTTTTAATGAACAATCATACATCCAGGGTCTTCCCTGTCGTATGGCTTGACTGAGTACCAATGCATGATCATCATATCATCTTATAATACTATATGTACGTGGGTGTTTTATTATTGATTTTCAAAAGGTATGTTCCGCACTGTTTCTGACCAAAATTTTGATGAAATAACAAACTTGAAATACATTTAGGAAGTCGTGATTTTTTTCAGCCCAATCGGTTAAAAGGAACACCCGCAATAAATCATCCAAATTTACCTCGAAAATATGCAAAAATTTACGACTTGATTCCATTATCATCCCAAAATCGTTTCCCCTTCATGCTTTTATTCAACGTTTGAAACGGATAATAATCACTAAGGGTCAAGGCTGGACTGTACGGGGGGTGGTTTATGACGGTGAAGCGTTTTTCGTCTGCAGCAGCCCTCGAAACCAGCGAGGTATTTGTTGGCGCGTTGTCGTCTAAAAAAAGGCCAACTCTTTATTTTGACCTCACGTTTCTCTTCAACCGCAGCACGCAGCTCCGTCGGGGTTCCTGCATAGGCTGCCCCAAGCAAGAAATTATGTAAGAAGGGGACCTTTTGTATCATTGTAAATAGTCATAATCAATTTTTTGGCAGATTTTTACGCTTTTGCTTTCATGGGCGGTGGCAACCCCCCGTGCTCCCATTGCATGAAGTATTGTTTAGTCTGCAGGTCATAATAGTAAACCCAAGTATCATATGCAACTACTAAAATATGAAGCAGGTTCCAGTTTTCATTTAATAGGTTAAAATTGGCATTGCAAAGGTCAACTCGATCTTGTTGTTGAGATGCCGAAAGCAATTTTGGTACCCAACGGGCGGAAGCCATTTTCATACCTAAGTCTTCAGTTAACGTGGAACAAATTGTTGGTTTTAGAACACCCATCTTATCTGCTAAATAGGACAGTTTCAATCGTGGATCTCTAATTATTGGTTCCTCTAGTTTCTGGAGCCTTTCTGTGGAAGAAACTGATTTTGGGCGTCCTGGCGACTTTTTGTCCGAGACCACTTTTCGCCATCATTTGAAGTTACTGACCCAATTTATATTGTGCTTTGTGTTGGGCAGTTTTCATCGTAAACTTTAAGCATGCGATCATAAATCTGCGACACCGATTGCCCTTCCAGCGTTAAAAGTTAAATCACACTACGATATTTAATTTGCAAATCTGACATTTTTTCCGTCGAGGTAAAGTTTGCTGATTTATTGCTAGTGGTGATGTTAACCTAAAGAGCTGAAAAAAATCACAGCATCCTAAATGTATCTGAAGTTTGTTATTTCATCAAAATTTTGGTCAGAAACAATGCGGAACATACGTTTTGAAAATCAATAATAAAACACCTACGTATATTAATACATAATGGCGTCAGCCAACGAGAATAAACAATTTTAAATATGCCGACAAAAAAATTCGTTTTTGTGTAACAAATTATACTTACCATTAGTTGTTACCTGATTTGTGTGAGTTTTGTGTGATGGAAGCATTTAAAACAATCTTATAGTTCAGAAATTTATTAAACAGGCTTTGCATCAGTAAATCTGATGCATTCCTATACATCCATGATCTGATGTATGTTTATCCTTTCTGTAAGTAACTCCTAAATGACCCTCACTTGACTGATTTTTATTTTATCCAACGCAGTGTGCTTTGTAGTCCCGTGCGTAGATAAAGCTAATTTTTACGAAAATGAAAATCATAGACCAGAGAGATTCACTGGGGCATACAAAAGTCGTGCAGGAACCAGCAGGAACCGAATTATATATTATTTACTACTTTGGATCATCCGTATAATACATATAAGATTTCAATAAAAGAAAATCGTGCGAATGATGGGGTTTGTTACACCTGCATAGTTCAAAAGGATGTCCATAAACACGATGAGAAGTAAGAGAGGTGCATCATGGAAATTATGCAAGCAGGATCCCTGTGCAGTGTGTTGGATGAAGATGAGACCTGCCAACCTTGACGATGTTTACTGAATGCGGATGACCTCACCTTCCAACAATGATGGGGCAAGAGTAAGAACCCATGCCTTCGGACCATGTATACGGACATAATACATATTATTATCCACATCGTGTCTATTTTTATATTTACCAAAATATAGACGCTCACCAACATTTCTTGTTGATCACTTGCATTACAACCACCTTCAACTCTGTCACTTTGAGATTCCGTCTCAAGTTTTCCTACACAAAAAAATCTCATTTTCGCTACTATATTTTTTTCTAAAAATCATGGGAAACTTTTTGGGATTACTGGTAATTATGACCATATTATTGGCAAGCTCTGGTTCTGCTTGGAGACATAAGCGTCAGGTCGTCATCCAGCAGAGACAACCAGTATCCGACAGATCTGTGTATGCTAGAAGAAATTTTGCCCAACCGGACGTGGTTAGCGATATTTATGAAGTCTACGTGGGGTCGTCCAAGGTAATCGAATGCTTAATTTTGCTACATTTACATATGTATGTATATATATCATAATTTACGTTCTGATTAATTCCTCGAGTGGATCCGTGATAATATGTAGTCTCTTTTCTTTGATTTACAAATGAACCAATTCATCATATATATATGTTCATTTACAGGTTCCAGCCGTTATGCGTTCGGCAGTGGCAATCCTCAAAGGGGACAAAGGGGTTGAGGGGCTAATTGTCTTGACGCAAGAAAGACCCGACACTCCCGTCTTACTGAATGGAACCGTAACAGGTCTGACCACGGGACTACACGGATTCCACATTCATCAAACTGGAAATTTAACAAATGGTTGTATTTCGACTGGTCCACATTTCAACCCTTATATGCAACCACACGGTTCACCAAGTGACAGGTGAATGATAAGTTGATAAGAAATAAAAGCTTGAGTTTTTGATGATTATTTCATGTCAATTTCAGAAATCGACACATTGGAGATCTTGGTAACATTGAAGCTATGAATGGGGTAGCTAATGTCAGAGTTATGGATCCACTGATTTCATTGACGGGTGTGAATTCAATCATTGGGAGGGCTATAGTTGTCCATGAAAAGGAGGACGACCTAGGACGAGGGTCAGTAGATGACAGGTACACTTAAATAATATTTTTAGTTAATAATTACACATGAACGACATAAAAAATAATTTTTAATTATGTATCGCAAGTCTTAAAACTGGCAATGCTGGTGGGAGGTTGGCATGTGGTATCATCGGATTGGCCTGATAACCTGATATTATTCTCTCAAAGTCGTTACGGACATATGTACGTATGTAATGGTACTTGCCTCCGACGTGTAAGCATAATTTAAACCTTTTTACCATCATTATGTAATAACTTGCAACTGATCTGAACTCTGAAAATGATAAAATAAAGAAGATTTTTGAAGAGTTCATTTTTTCGTGTGAATTTATTTTATAATATTGAAATTTGATTTTACATTGAAGATTGCAATTATTCATATTAATAGTCAAATATAAATATACACCAAATTTAATGTAAATTCAATAACTCGTATAACATTTCTTCTGCATTCAACAACATGGGTTTCACGTTCAAGGGTTTTTATAATGAGCGAGTCTAGGAAATATAGAGACGAGGGTTTTCATATTAAAAGTCAAGTACATACTATATACGATATAGTACGACCCAAGGTATGGTATGAAGTAAAGGGTAGCGTAGATCAGCCATATTTTAGTATACAAAATTCCATTGAAGGAACAACGATACGGAACAATTCAAAACTATCGTCAGATCGTCACCCACGCTAACAAATGTAAAGCAATGTTGTTGAATGGTTTGACGATAGTATGCTAGTGAACATTCGTTCCATCAAAGGAAAGTGGTAATAGGATTAGAATAAGCACAGTTAGAGATAAAACAGTCTTTTGAGCCAATAATTTAACAGCATGAGACAGGACGCTATTCTTATATGTAATATGTGTGTTATTATACCTACTAGGTATAGAATGTATACTACGAAAATGAAGAATATTAATACCATATTGTGAGACTAATTTGAACTTGGTACACAATGGACATTATTATTGCTCATGCTCTTAAGTGCCCTTCTCCATTAGAATAATAATATAGCCTACTAACTCACGCTTGTGGTGTTCTAGATTCTCACAACAACTCTTTTATGTAACACTACTTTCTTAACTAGGAACAAAAATTGTTATCATTGATAATTGGTACAAAATATACTGTAAATACAGAAACGTAAAAATGATTTATTTTTAAAGCATTCGAAAGACACTGCATTCATAGTTTGGCAGTAATAAAAATATTTAAAAACAGGATCGTTATAAAAAGTTGCAAGAATTTAACGCGATATATTAACAAATGGAAACAACATTTTGGTGAGTTAATTAAATAACTTCGTGCATGATCATGTACAAAGACACTGATTTTGATTTTGGCGCAATCGCAATACCATAAATTTCCGAGGCTATACTACATCTTAATCACACTAGGGAAATACATACATTCATGCAACTACGTTTACACTATAGTAATAAAAATTGACAAACGTTAACATTTTCAAATTACTTCTACAGTAGGTGACTTAATATCCACATTCATTATGTTTTCCAGTTTTGGGGCATATTCCGAGAGTTAGGAATCATATCTAAAAGATATGATCGTTGAAGTTGTTGCAAATTTTCGGCTTGTCGTTGAATTTCTGCCATCGATTGAGGGTTCATTTGTTTACCACTTGCTGCCTGCAGACGAAAGAGAAAATGTCAAATTTACCAAGAAATACTATAATAATAATAATGTTTTGCTTCATACTTGTGCCATGGCTATCTGGTATGGGTAAAGTAAAGGAGAAAATGGTAACAAATGGGCAGGTAGTTGTTGAGCCTGTCCTGATGGTAATCGAAGCATTTGCTGGTGTGCAGCTTGAAGTGCTGCTGCAGTGGCTAATGCTGTGTTCGACAGCGTCTGATTCCCTGCAGATCCCATTCCCATTGCGCTCATAAACTTGGCTGCAGCCTCGCTGTCCATTCGCTGCTGTTTCGACAACTGCTTCAGCAGGTCCTGTGCAGATACATAAAAAATATTCATTTTTGGTGTGAATTTTAATTTGTTGTGATAATGGTACTGATAATAGCATGTTGAAGGAATGCGTGCGTGTCATAATCAATAATTTTAAATGAAAAGTGTATAAAACAAGTGCCACAACCAATTTTCTACAAAAAAAACATAACTGCACAACACAAATATTGCTGGCAGTATAACCAACATATATTATTACTACTATAAAAGGCTTTCCAATAGGAATGTCCATGAAGTAAGCACTAAAAGAGAAGAGTTAAGGAAAAGGGCGAAGGGGGTAACTGAGGGGTAAGTCAAACTAGGTAACAAAACATTTGGAAAATGGAGAAATGGGGAGAGACAATCTTTCTAATAATCCCACAAGACGAAAATGACGAAACAATCACCAGCACAAACTAGAGTGAGGAGGAGGAATAATGATACACGATACAACAGCTACAATACAATATCATAATGTAATTCCCTTCCCACATACGTTTTGTTTCAATTGTTGGTTATATTGCTCAAGAATTGACGATTGATTCTGACTCTGAGATTGACCCTGATTTTGACCTCGGGATGACGATGATGAAGTTGCAGAACTACCAACAGCCGCTTCGGCCGACTGACGACTTCGACGGCTGCTGTTGTGCGAATGCGATTGATGCTGATTTTGATGATTAGAACTTGAAACTGACACGGGCACAGTAGCATTTTGACTCAAAATAGCATTTAGAGTAGAAAATGGGGATTGGGGGTCTCTAAAGAATAGGTGGGATGCGGATACAGACGGGGAAACGCCTGGTAAATAGTTTACCTTCGAACTTCCTTTCGGTCTACCACCACCACTATTACTACTACCACCGCCCCCACCACTTTCTCTGTGTTGTTGTTGTTGTTGAGCTTGAGCTTGGACTGCTGCAGCCATGGCCGCCTCTTCCGCATGTCGTTGCTGAAAAAACACACCATTATTATTATTAGATCCTAGCTAGCACATGTGTGATATAACACCACAGTATCGGTGCAGCAATTAAATAGATTACTCACAACTTGCTGAAGAGCTTGCAATGCCTGTTGGCTCTCATGCAGTTGTCGTGTCAAGTTATGAGCGTGCGATGATCTAGTGTCTCGAACTTGTGGCGCCCTGTGAGATTCTCTTTCATTTCGGTCGCGTTCACGATGCTGCTCGCGTTCCATTTCTCTTTGTTCGCGTTGTTCTCTATCTCTTTGTTCGCGAACGAGTTGTCTCTGTAACTCTCGTGAATTTTCTCTTTCTCGCTGCATAATTTCTCGTTCCCTTTCACGATCCCTATGTTCACGCTCCCGTTCTCGTTGTGAGGGTTCCCGGTGAGGTGTTATTTCAGTTTCACGAGGCAAAGTTAAGGGCAGGGGTAAGTTAGGGAGGGAAAGACCAGTAAGCCCGGGGGATTGGGTTGGGGTACGATTTCTTGATGAGGATGAAACCTGTGGAGAACTCCTATCGGCCACACCTGTTGGAGATGGTGTGCTTCCGTTTCTTCCATTCGTGTTGCTCATGACGAGATCATTTAAAGACCCTCCCTGTGCTAATCGCTGCTCTATTTCTTGCTCTTGTTGCAATGCTTTAACGAATGCAGTTTTCAACCGATTCGTGTGTTCAGCCTTCAAACCTTTTTTCACATTTGTCGTAACGCACTGATCACATATAACTTTTCCTACAATAAATCAAATGTTCAAAATTAATTGTTAGTAACACAATAATAAATAATACACATTTGCGTACGCGTGTAATTAAAAAACGTGTTGGTTGCATTATTCTGACGCATGACATTAATATAGTCAAATGCGCCCAAACTTTAGCAACCTTTAATTTACCACAAGTCGTCAACTCGGTCAAAACCCGTTGAAAACCAACTAATTTGTCAAGTTAATTTCTTGTGGATCTGGGTAATATTTACTAAGCAAAATAAAATCTGCACTAGTTTGTAGCAATAAAATTCATTTACCTTTATTCGCCTTGTCCCATTTCCATATAGAAGAAAAGTCAGTATTGCACTGACTACAAGTAAATGGATCAAGAGATAAAAGTGTTTCGTTGGGGTCTTTGGTAATGTAGTCCACTAAAAATACAAATACAAATTAGATTATTTTTGTAGTCTAAAGTTCATTCAAGTTGAAAGCTAGTACAAATATCTGATATTTCTTGGACACTTTTACGAAAACTGTTTGGGAATCAAAGTCATTCACTAACCTACAAATTCTAGTCCAATTAATGCCAAGAATTCAAAGTTATTAGGGTTCGGCAAGTAGTTCATTTCTGGTGGAGGAGGTTTAGGTGGTGGGATTTGCAGCAATGTCTTTTCTAGTTGCTTTCTTAAAGCCACCTTAGCAGCAGCTTGGCGTTGAGCAGGAGTCTCATTTTCTTCAGGCCCAGTAGCTAACCTGTGCCGTCTCTCAGCCTAAAAAATTCATAAAAAACAACAATAAAAATGCATGAATCAAATAAAAATGAGAAATGGGCACAGACAACATGCCACCAGTAGTAATGATTAACCAACGAGTACATCTAAGAATTTAGAAAAATTATAAGGCGAATTCAGTCCAAATTAAGTAATAATGTAGCACAAACAAGATGCAACGCTACATACAATACATATAAATATATACGAAACAACAATATTAAAAACTACAAATCAAGGTATTAGAAACATTCACATATGCGAACAACAAGAAGGAAGAAGAACAACACTATTAATGACTGGTATGAATAAAACCAGGGAAATCCTCCAAGGAAACGGGAAAAGGGAAAGGCATTTGCCTGAGGGAAAGTCTCACAGGTCAAGGCTATTGCCCCTTTTCGTATGAATAAACTTTTGCCTTTCTCGCCAGGCAAATCCCCCTGGTTTCGGGCAATTCCCCTAACTTTAATTACATGTAATTAAAATAATACCATCGCAACTAAAGTGGTGTTTATGCTTCACGTCACCGTCACGTCCTCCTCCAAATCCGATTTTTTGATTGGTTAAAATTTTTAATTGTCGTAGTGATAATTTCAATCAGCCAATCAAAAAATCGGATTTGGAGGAGGACGGGACGGTGACGTGAAGCATAAACGCACCTTAAGACAAATGCATTTTCCAAAATTTCTGACCATGTTTTTGATCAAATTCTTAAAGAAATGTACCCCTAGTGACCCCCACTGGTTTGTGATGTTGGTTAAAAAAGCTGAAATTCGGTATGGTACAGGCTAATCTCAGAATTGCAAAAATTAAATAAATTTCAGTGTTGTATATGAATGTAGGTATTTGATTTCATGTGTTTGAAAATGTATTTGATTTTTTGAACACCCTCCAAACTCAATCAGAGTAATCCGAAAAAACCATCTTCAAATACTAGCCAAAAAATCCAGTTTCCTCGGAATTTACAAACTCTTGTACGATTTTACTCCCAGTTGTCGTACAGTTGACAGTTGTTTTATAATATCTAACATCAAACTTATTTTTGAATTTTTATAGATTTTCGAAATTTTCCTAACCACTAAAAAAATTTAAACTCTAACCTCCTAACTTTGTATAGACCTAAAAATCATCTAATTTTTGTAAGAAAAACCTACGGCGATGAACAGGTTTCAAAATCGCCTTTAAATGGAAGAAGGGAAAGTTGAGACACGAAAATTCGAGTTTAAAACCCGCACGCAATAGACCCTTAAAAGATTAATAAATGAGCGAAAGCGGAATTTTTCCAAAAAAAAATTTTGGAAAATTTTCAACATTTGCAATTACATAAGTGCATTTAATATGCAATTTGGGAGATACCGGTAGCTTGACCCGTTGGATATCGAGCCCGAAATTTGAATTTAAAAAAGTTTCAGAAAACATTTTCAGGTTTTTAATGAAAATATAAAGTACATTTTTTCGATGTCGATAGCAAATAAAAATCTGCATATTTTTGTCGATAAATCTTGTTTTGTAAGTTTTAAGGCCCTAACATGTCCAACTAGTGTCCAACGTTCATAAAAGGTGCAGCAGATGCTTAAAAACTAAGTTTTACTGGTAATTCCGTTAGTTAGGGTCAGCATAATAGCTGATCGGTAATTTTTGGGGAGATTGCCTGAAGGAAAGGCTTTCACCTTGGTTTTATTCATACAAAAGTCCCCGTCTCCAGGGAAAATCTTGAGGTTGAGGGAAAGGCTATTCCCTTTTTCCTTTCCCTCGGGGAAAAGCAAATGCCTAAATTTTTATTCATATAATTACGGGCATTTCCCCGATTTTTTCCGGAAAAAGGATTTCCCTGGTTTTATTCATATCACCCAATGAAATTAAACTACTACTAGACTGAGGTTCCCCTAAAAATAATCATACAAAAAAATTACTGGCACTGTGATCGTAATTAATAAAAAAAAACTAAAATTGAAAAAAGTACTATAAAAAAGTCAGTAAATTTTAGTAAACAGTAAACACATTGATACAAAGAGTTGAACAAATACGGGAACACGCTTAAAAACAGCAGGGTTTAATCCTGTCTGCGTACCTGCTCCAGCGTGGAAGTGATAGAAACTCCTGAATTATTACTGCTACTTAAAGTGCCACCACTAATATTTGTAGCGTTTGCAGATGCCAAACTAACTATGTTGCCCGAATTAGAATTCGCCTTCGTATCCATTATAGCACCCGACGCAACAAGTGACTGGTCGATAAGAGCAGGAAAAATATTTCAATAGTAAAATATTATAAAACCCTCTTCATCAATGAAAATGACAACATTTCAGAATGTTTAAAGATTGATTGATCTACCTGCTGCAAAGAATTGTTGGATGACGAATGGGCTTCTTTTGGACGATCATACTTTTCAGAGGCTGACGCAGGTGAGATGCTCGGTGGCGGTATTGCACCAGGAGGATTGTTTGCAAACCCTAGCATCATGTTTGCAGTTAAATTGTTTCCTCTCGAGTCTACAAGTAAGTGTACAGTTGAGCATGAATTATACATGTAGGCCAAATTCATTAGTAAGAATTATAATTATCAACATACTTCGAAGTAGGGATTGTTGAGCCTGAGCCAACAAATGGGCTGGAATTGCACCGCTTGAAGATTTCTGTTGTGATAACATAAGAGGAGAAGAAGATTGAACATTCTGAGAGTTTGAATTCCTTGATGGTTGTTGTTGTTGTTGTTGTTGCTGTTGTTGTTGCTGTAAGTACGGACAGAATATGCCATGAGTCATAATCACAAATTACAATAAATTTTAATGTTGAATCAAATGTTTAGTACCTTTAATAATGTTGAAACTTTTGCACTGGATGATTTGTGAGAATTATTCTGATGATTCCTTCCTCCAGAATGCGCAGGAGGGATTAGTCCAGGAATTGAAAGATTCCCAAGATTCCCAAGACCAGGAATGTGACTGTGACCAAATAATCCGGGTATTCCCAAATGAGCCAAATTTAGTCCTAAATCGCGGTCCTTGTCCCTATTCGCACTTGTAATGCCTACAAACACATGTCATAAATTCTCAAATAACTAAATCAATCAATTGTATTAAGTTGTAAACTTGATTATCAATTTTTTTGTATATGATGCTGAATTAGCTTGTAAGCACATTTATTTATCAACTTACTGAGGTTGCTTGTACCAGGTTGCAATTTTGGAGAGGACCTGCCCTTCACGCCTGAAATTGTCAGACCAGCTGGGTGCAAGAAAAAAAACAAGGTCATTCACCTGTTATTTAATATTCATTGATTACTAAATGTATTAATACGGTTGATACTAACCTGCGTGCAATTTGTGTAAATTTTGTAGCTCGTGAAGCTGATTGTTGTGAGTGGGTTGTTGATGGTTATTATTGTGTGCATGGTGCGACGATGAATTGTTATTATTGGTAGCACCCGGAGATGTATTATTCGTAGAATGAATAGATGCACCAGGAGCCATATACACATTTTCCTTCATTTGCTGAGATTGAAGCTTTTTAAGCAAATCCGAGTTGGAATTGAAATGTGACTGCTGCAAATAAGAAATTAAAATCAAGTAAGTGAACAGTGTTGAGACATACACAGAGTATCAATTTGACCTTAAGTAGCTAAAGCTGTAGTCCGTGATTTGTTTATGTTACGGTATGAGTACATCCGTTCATAATTTTCTAACTACAAATTGTATTTCAATTTTCTGATTGGTTAATTTACCACGAATATGAAGGTAGTTTTTTTTGCACTGCACACTGTTGATTTTGTCATTGTCATGGTGATTAATACCCACCCACCAACATCGGATCTTTCCTCTACTCCTAAAGCCAACTATTAAAGTAAGGGTGCGAGCACCACTGCATGCACTGACACACACAGATTTTGATACCCTTCAGATATGTTGAACTGAACTACTAGGTGAAGAAAGCTGTTTTATTCCATGTCCCCATTTGCGCTCGCCATGCCCCTTCAAAGAGAGGCTCCATGGTCATATTTTTATAAATCGCCACAAATCCTATTTTACTTGAGTTTTCAAAATTTTCGTGACCCTAGATAGCTGTGGTACCAACCCACCAACATTGAGTTTTCTTTGTACAACTATTTTGTTGAACCACACATTTTATACGTAAACAATGATAGGTCATTTTTACACAAATCGTGTAAGAGGCCGAATGGTGATCTCGGACGCCTATCCGGATCAAGTAAAGGTTTTCTCAACCCACCAACATCGGGTTTTTCCTCTACTCCCCAAGCCAACTAAGTGTATTTCATAGTTTATCAATGTGTTCAAATAAATTATGGATTCTAAATAATCAATGTATTACCTTGAGCTTTTTAAGCAGGACTAGTTTCATCTCTTCATTTCTTAGTTGCTCTTTCAGTTTACGAAGGGTCCGTTCACGTTCTTTCACTTCTTCTTCTGTCAATTCCTACAGTGGCACAATAGGTAAAAAATTTAGTAAATGTTAAAAGATTGGCTCTTAATACTATGTAAAATATGTACATATACAAGTAACATTTATACCAACTTTGTTGACTTACCTTCATTGCCGGCAAGGGGGGCATCTCTCCAGGATCACTATCTGACTCGTCTTCGTCATCAACGCATCCGTTGGCGATAATTGCTCCATTGACTTTCACCGGCTCCTCTTCAAATTCGACAACAATATCCGGACTCTCAGCTGGAAAGGAAAGGACACACTCTTTGAGATTGTTGAAAAAGACACGAGATTTCACAAAGGATAACAATGTGCCAGGACATTAGTTAGGTTGACGTCGCTGTCGGAAGTAATTATGCAGGTGGAAACTAATCGTCGTGATACAACATAGTGTAGTTTGTAGGTTGTATTATTTGTGGTAATTAACTAATTGTCAACTGGTATAGTTTTCCAATGGTTCAAATAAAGGTTTGCATTATATATTACAATTAAGAATATTTGAAATACACTGAATTACAGGGAGTTGTTCTTTACCAAAAATCAAAGAGAATGAACCAGCTTATCGTGTCGTGTCGTGTCGCAATTTCTATCAGGAGTCAATGAATACAACAACAAAAAATATATTAAGGGTTTTCAGCTTACCGTAGCTCCTTTCAATTCTCGGTCTTAAACTTCGGCGAGTTGGAATATTTGAATAGTCCGAGTCTTCTTTCTTTCTCTTTATTCCAGCGGTTACTTTAGCGAGACTCCTTGCTGAACTTCCACGGTTGTGGTTTAGGTGGAAAGCGTGGTTATGGTTGTGATGATTTTGAGAATGAGATATATGTTGTTGGGCAAGCCCTCCTGTTGAGCTGCTACGACTACTGCCAGAGGAATCCTCTTTCGATTCGGGCTTTGCAAAATTGTTAACACTAACTCCACTCAACATGCTTACAAATCGGGAGAGGTCATTGTGTGGAACTGGCAATTGCGACAGTCCAGGTACTGGTAGCGATAAAGGGAGAGGTAGATTTCCCAGGGATGGCAAATTCAGTGGAAAGTTAATTGGAAGATTGGGTAGACCCAAGCCGAGAGGCAACTGTAGTTGTTGTCCAGTAATGTTTGCCTCGGGTGAAACGGCGTTGGGTTTGTGGGACGAGCCTGATGAACTTTCTTTCCTGGAAATTTAAAAAATACATATTATTTATCATGAAATATCATGTACTAAGGAATTCAATACGTACTAAACCTAAGTAATAACAATATTTAATATATATGTACATCTGAAATGACAAACATATATGTCGATTTCCGTATTCTGACTCAAACCACAAAGAATAAGAGCCCAAACTTCAGAAAACTCTTACTTTACCACAACATTCTTATCCCGAAAGCTATGAATTCAGCTTACGTGATAATTTATAATTAATTGGTTATGGCCTAAAACAGATTACCTTACATTTTATCCTATTTCAACATTAAGCAAACTAGCAAAAAAATGAGTGCAATAATTGCAATTACGCTTATTCCTTAAAGTATTCTTTAAATTATGAATTCTTTGAACAAATAAGAACCGTTTTTATGACTGTCCACATATTGTTCAGCTAATAATAAATAATATTAATAGTACATTCAAAATCATAGAGCTATGTAATAATCGTTCAAAATTCGAGTAGTTTTGATTATGTACACACTATTAAATAGGTACGATTGTTAAATAGCCAATTAAAAAACAATCCAAATTTAAAAAATATTTATATCTGTCTCGTGTTACCAGTCAATCATTCCGTGTCTCTGCTTTAAAAGTCACAATATTTATGCGTCTTCAATTCGTTTATAAATGCAAAGCGCTTAAACAAAGTACAGGACTATTCTAAGAAAAAAATCTAGGAAATAAAGAGTAAAATCGGGTAGAAAGGGCAATAGTTGATTATTCTGTAATACATGAGCAATGAATCGATATCCACTAAAAATCTACTAAATAATAAATACAACAGATACGTATGGAATCGAATAAATGATTCAGCAGCACCGGAGCTCATTCACTGCTCTCTTTCAATGCATTATCCATTATACGTTATGTCCTGTTTATATGTAATCCATAGCCTTTGCAACCGGCTCTAGAGTATGTTAATATTTAAATAACATTAATGTAGATTCGCAATATTTATTTAACTTCGTATTTCTAAAATTTCCGAGCAAGTTAGTGAGATGAGAATTTTTGTTGTTCTCTAATAATACTTGTTGGGCAAAATAATATGAACGATCGAAGCACTGTATGCAGGCTATACAATATATACCTATGATATACCGAGAAAATCACAATTGGTCAACAGTACGAACTGGAACAATCCATGCACAGCTGATTCTATATTGATATCCCACAGTGACATTACTAATGGCAATTTTTAAATACTTTGAATGCGGCAATTGTAGCAATACTTTAACAGAATAATGCAGTAATAGAATAGAGTTTTTTTTGGGGGGGAGAGGAAGGGGGTGTTACTTACTTGACACTTAAATCCACAACGTCCTCCATCCTGAAAAATTGAAAAATGACACGTAAGTCAAAAAGTAAAGTAAAGAAGAATATATAGCAACGGCATCACATTTGTTGATAGCATGGCGGATGATAATAATTAGCAATTTAATGCACTAAGCATGACCATCAGAAAGCAAGCATATATATATACGCACATATATACATATAGATAGAAGCAACATGCACCTCCCATTTAACTTCCCTTTGATCCAATACTTATTAAGTAGACTATACATCATGCTTTAGCTTTTTCCCATTTCGTCTCCCAATGTATCTTTAATCACAAGAGGATAGACCTCTTAAAACGCAATGCCAACGATGATGCCAAGTGACGACGGTTACTGCTAAATAAAAAGCTCTGTATAAGCCGAGTATTAGCATATTATCTGTCACGTTCATTCACATTCATGCATCACATAATTCATCGTCATCATCATCATCAACTACAGCTACATGCATACAGCACTCTTTTGACAATAGTTAGCTGATAAGACAAACAAATGCTTATTGTAAAAATAGTAGAGATGAAAATGTAATAAAGAGTATGTCCTCATTTAAATTTAAATTTTGTAGTATGTACCACCACAAGTCTACAAACACTGGCTATTTTGACTGATCCTCGTCACTAGTCGTCACCAAACAAAAAGCTGGGTTCAGTAAATAAAGTAATGAATGGCGGAGACAACGAAGATGTGAGAAATTCAGAAATCGAAAGAAATGCGCAGAAAGGAAGGGAAGCGCAGGAAAGCCAACCACCAATCAAATCATTCAACTCATTCGGTATTACGATAATGAACCCCGGCCGTCATTTTGAGGGGAAATGTATGTAGTTCTCAAATATAACAACATTTATACATTACATCATACCAATAAGCGAAGGTTGACGGTAGAGACATTACTAATATGCATATTGTATGTATGTATGTTTAGTATGCGGGTGTGAAAATGGCATGTCAAAACGTGACATCAAAAAATCCAAACGCATTATTTGAAAGCAACATACCTAACAAAATAGCAATGCTCATCTCGGAATGGATGGTACATAGAAAGTAATGTGTGAATAATACAATTAATACAATTTATTATCCTTATAAATATATATATATACATTTGGGTATATATAATTGCTACAAGAAATACAAAGAAATTATACCAAGAAGGAGGCAGGCAAACGCATATAGAAGCTCAATAGACAGACAAGCAGCATAACGTCGTTGAATATGTATTCGAATTATTTGATTGAACACATCTCTAATGCTAAGGCATTGGAGTTGTGTCCGAATGCAATGCACAGGATTTGAGGATGTATCAATTTTCATATTCAACGAGAATGTTTGTTTGAGAACGATATGTTTGACCAGTTCCAAAGGCATTAATGACGATAAGAAATCTGACAAGGATTGGGGGGGGGGGAGGACGTTCTCAGAGTTCCGGATTCGAATAATCCGGAAACAATTTATGGTAAAAGTACAAAGAGCTGAAGAGCTGAGCTATGCATTTTGAAAAAGTATTCCTTTTAATTATGAAGAGGTACTTAATTTTAATGTAATTCCTTCATCCATGCAACCAAAATGTCAAATATCACTTACTCGTAAGTAATAAGTTACTAGTAGTGCCAATTTATGTTCTATGCATTCTGATAAAATTATTTGTGAATGTCAAATGACATCAGACTGGCCATGACACAGAGTATTACACACACACGTACAACGTACATACAGTAGTACGCAAAAATTCCATGTCCCATGATGCTGCTGATGATGATTTTACCCATTAGGAGCAGAGGGACTGAATTGTATTACATTACGCCAGGAGTGGTAGTTTTTGAGGAGGAAAACAAAATGCCTTCTTTATCGATTAAGCAACTCCCTAAAATTCAACCTCCTCGCTCTCCTAGTCTCTCCACTTAAAATCTATATAAAATACATATCACCTTCCTTCCTTCCCTCGTCGACACACCAAAACCACTCTTAGCCCAACACCGACCGACCCAAGCGATGCCACCCTGATGCTGCTGCAGTCTATTTATTATGCAATTTCACACGAACCAACGGATCCATTACTCTTTTTCCAATTCCAATTCCAACCAACTCACTGCTAGCCACTACGCATGCTGAACCATTAATGACATCAATGACATGATATGCAAATCAAGATACTCGAGGAATTTTATTTTTTACCCAAATTATTATTTTTTTTAATCAATCATAATTCAGATCACAACTGACGAATTACGTTTAGCGTTACGTTGGTTTGAGTGACGATATATTTTTTTTTTGGATACAAGCAACTGAAGCAACAACCCGAGTTCCTTGTACAATTTCTATTTTTATTTCCCTAAATTAAATATAGTTAAGTCTGGCCCTATGACTGACAGTTTTACTTTTATATAGAATTGATATAATTACTCGACAAGCATTTAACATATGTACATATGTCTTGCTTTGACCAAGTAAAAAAATCATATTGCATAACAGAACACTAATGTCCATGGATAAGGCACGGGCAAAAAAAGTAAAGTTATTTTGGGTCAGCAAGTAATGTTATAAATATAAATGTAGTGTTTTGCAAACATCTAATGTTACACCGAAAAACAAGGTTACAAAGAACAACTGCATAATTTAACCGGTATAAAATCAGGTTGAATATATCATAGACTTATCACATTTAGTCATGCTTTTTTCTATTACAAACAGTCCTTACTGTTCGTATTTTAATTCTTATCCGACACTTGTATGAAATTGAATTGCAACCCAGTAAATTTTTGACACCTGATACACCATAAACCAACGACAATTAAAGCTGCTCCCGGCTCCCATAAGAAAATGCAACCACAAATGCCAATCATATACATACCAAATTTGCCCCAACCACCCCCCAAATCATAGTTACGTTGATTTTTAAAATGTGATAAAATTATGCTGGCTTACTTTGATCGTGAGCTCATTTTCCGTTTCTGATTCCTTCTGGATGATTGGTTAACAAATCGTTAACTTAATCGGCACTCCAAATCCTTTGCCTCATCACTGATTTATTTTGTTCACACACACACATTTAACATTCAACATTGTACACTACACTAAACTTTTATTGTCAGCTCGATGGTTGATACTTGACAAGTGATGACGCTGATGATGTAGTCCTACAATTTTGCTTAGAAAATAAACGACGAAAACGCATTTCCCAGAATCTACCACTTCATCATTAACCCACAATTATAATCCATTTTATAGATCGCCAATAGGTTGAGCTAAGTGTGTGAAGTGTCGAGACAGAAGGCTCCGAGATGGTACGATAGTGGTTGAGATTATTGCAGAACAAGCCTGAAACGTCAACAAAAGTACAAAATTAAAGGGTAAAGAGGGCATCATCTAAAGTTGAAAAGCGATATAACCACAAATGGGAGGCATATACCAATGTAATAGTTAGTTTGATAGATAATTGCCGACATGTTAAATACATTTAAAGTTGAAATTCAATCAACATGTGACACGTTTGTTTACCATTCATATTATACAGTAATAATCTTATACACCGATCTTGATGATAATTAGAATCAATCAACCTAATTATAATTAAGCCATACAAATGATGAGCCTCCTCATTTGTATAACAAAACAAAAATGCTGATAGTTATATCGATGTGTGAGTAATTCCAGAAATTGAAAGCTGGACTTTCCTTTCCCTGACTTGTACATAGCTTCCAATTTGAGTTTAAATATATGAGTGCGAAGCCTCCAAACCAAACTACAAAATATATTATCAATTCACTCTGCTACAGCTGACTTTGTCCCTCGAAAACCATAAGTCTTGGCAGTTTAAAATTGTAGCAGTGCAATGGAGAATAATTGGATTTAAAACCCGTGCTATGCCCAACACAATGTTGGAGCAAGTCGGCGGCCACAAACGGATTTAGGATTAATTAGTGGCTTAATTAAGGGGAGGCTACTGCCAGGTGGGTGACAGACGTGGGGAATCTCACCCGGTGGGAGGAGCGGACCGTGTTCCGGAGAACTTTTGTCCTGGTCGTGGCCGGCGGCTGATGACCCCGGAGGAACAGGAGGAGAGCAGGTTTGAAATCGAGCCCTTGACAATTTTGGAAGGAAGAGGAGCTCAATATGGCGAGTCAATGGGAAATGGCTCTCTCATCACACACGGCGTCGTCTTCCCTAAACAGCCTTTTCACTAAAAACTCACTCACACCACCAGCCAAGTCAATTCTCTCTCCCTCTGTCTCCGAAAACCATCCGTGAGTAGTGCCACCACCACGGCCGCTATATAGCTCTACACACTCCATTCTGCTCCGGTGCATACTTACACACAACAGGACACTCATTAGAAACAGGACCGGCGCCACCGCTTTGCAAACTCATCACATCCATAAATTGCACCATTCCATTAACCCTGCCCCATAGAATAGAAAGAAAAAGCTCTGCCCTCAACTCAATGTAAACTCACATTTCTATTGCTATTTTAACCAATGAACCAAGTGTGAACAATTGCTCATGAAAATGAATAATGATGTAGTCATTTTTAAAAAGCTCATTTGGGGTGCGAATGAAGCGCGAGGATTGCGATGGGCAAAATGGCTAGAGGGAAGTAGGGAAGCATAGTTGTGCAACTTTGCAAATTGAAGTAAGCAGGAGACCGGAGACCGAAACCGTAAGACTGCAGTATCTTACAGGTCAAATTTTTGAAACATGTCGGAAGTTGAAAGCCGAAGATAAGTATGGGTGCGTCATAAGTGAGACTTGCTGGAAAAATTTACGGGTTTTAGCGGGGCGGGTAGGCCGTGAGTTTCATTCACCAATCGGGTTTCAATCCACCCGAATTTGCGAATACTGAGTGTACTAGTGAATATCACTGCTATACTAATACTCATATGCATAGCTCTGATAAATATTTTTGTATCAATCCCTAATCGGGATTCCGATACGTATTCGTGTTGAGCTACAACATGAGTGGGTATTGATAAAAAAATATTTGCCGGGGGTATGCTGATATACTAATACTCTAATTCTGTGATCCATTGTTACATTTAAAAGCAGCCATTAGTATCACTACTTTAAGCATACCCCGGTTCGACCAAGATTGCGAGCCTTGTACAATTATTAAGTATTTGTTTATACAGTGTTTAGGATTAGTGAGATGAGAGTTATGATATTGGGAGCAGGATTTTAGCACCGGTGCAAAAAAAATGAGATTCCGCCGCCCCTGTTGATTTGTAGTATTTCCATCTTTGTTGCGTGTAATGATAATTAGAGTTTAGCTCTGGGAGTTAACAACCCGAGTATGTTGGTGAGGTTTGTTCGGGTGGATTTCAGTGGGGAAGGAAGGATGATGAAGTTGGACTGTGTATCAATTGTTCTATTGCACAATCACAGGCACATAACGAGAAGGAAAGAAACAGCCCCCACCGCTGCACACAAACTTGCCTCTCCCCTCTCTGCTTCCACTAATTAATACCCAAAACCTCTTGATCGGCATCAAAAACGTACTGTCAACCAAAAAATAAGTCCATCTCTCTCTGAAAACTCTGCTGCTTAAAGCCAATATCAGGAACAGACGCAGTTATAAATAGCTTGAAGAACTTGCAAACTAAAAACTCAACGAGAGATTTAAAAGTACACAAATATGTAATATGTATTAGTCTCATTTTACCATCATGGATGATTGCACCGTACTTATTAGTATTCACGTAACCATCCTATGGTTAAGATTATATAAATATGCCATTTTACAAAAAGGTCCGGCAACGGCAGCAATATAATTTTATAACAAAAACCACACCTCGCATGCATGCATTTCTCCTTGGTCATCCAAAGAAGTGAAGCCCCTTTATAAAATCGTTATGTCTGTCTGTCCGTCCGTTCGGGCTTTAACTTGTGAACGGTCAGACGTGAAATTAGAAACTAACTTATTTAGGTCAAGGCACAGATCAAATTCGAAGATGGGCACTGTAGCTCACAAGGTCACGGCGCCAGGTCACAGGTCATGACTTTATCTTTATAACTAAGGTCTCAAAAACAACTTTCTTTTAAGTATCTTCTACTTACGAACTAAAATTCACCGTATATTTATGTAACATCACAAGTATAACCAAACAATTCTTATGAATTTAAAAGTGAATTTTTTGCATTATTTTTATTGCTAGAAAGGATCATTCCTGTGAAATGGAAAAATGGATATCATTGAAGAGCAGTAGTAGCATCAAACCCAAGAACATGACCACATTTGGGACACTGTACCAACTCCGTCCTGTATTTCGGCCTTTCTTTCTTTTGTCGCTGCTGCTGCTGCGTCTTGTTTGATTGTCTACAAGTACATGAAGGGCGTAAGAAGAAGATGCTCGTTTCACTTGCTTGCATGGTTTGGTTGGTGCTTTGCTGGTTTCCTTAAAATCATTGATTTCTCATAAAATGGCAGGGATCCTCCCCTCCGAGCATCTCCTGTCAACTTGAAGCACCAATATTAGCCTCTCCGTGACACTGCTTGTACAACAGCATTGCGTAGATGGATACACGAAAATTGAAGCACTTGCCCTGCTTTCCCCAGTTTCCCCTCATTTCATTATACATGTACGGTAGTGGGCATGATATGCAGCCCATTACTGCTATACACACATGATATGCACTTATACGGCGAGTTTATGTGTATCATTTCTCCCCATTTTATTCTTTTCTCTACTTTCACTTTGCATTCTATGTACACCATTTTTAAAGAAATGGATTAATGGTCAAACTGCTTTCTCCAAACAAACCTCACGCGCATGAGTTTAATATCTAATGCCGATATTAATATGCGCACTTGTCCATTATGATTGCCCATTGTACTTGTTTCATTTGTATAAGCAAATATTTTTTGGAGAGGAAGTGAGTGAGGAAATTTGACGGAAAGACTCGGAGCTCGAGTGCGAAGCATCGGGAGCTAGCAGCAGCATCATGCATTTTCCAATCATAATGAGAACGAACAAATGAATGTGTCCTTTTGGTATGGGAGATGAGATCGAGATGATGATGATTCGCCCAACCATGGCGATGGGGTTCATGGACAAAGAATGCTTCTCGTCGGGTACCATTTCAACTGAGGTCTTTCCTTCATCTCCCACTCGAGGTGCTCCCAGGCAAATCTTCTAATATGCACAACCTCTGCATTATACACAATATTATGTAAAAGTTCACAACAATTGGATAATACGATGAATTGCGATGGGTAATGACAAGCACCTTCAAATCAAGCACTACATAACACTGCATAAGTACAGTTACAGGGCATGAAAAAATGAGACAAACCAAAACCAAGCATTTTCAACGACAAGGATCACTTTACCCCAAATCTGTACTCTATATATTTGCGTGAGAGGCGATGTGAGATTCTGAAAGTGAAACGAGAAATCCAACGACAACGAGCATGGCAAATCGGAGGAGTTGAGGCAATTTGAGACAATTGGTTCTATTGTTCTATACATGGTATTTGTTTCTTGTGAACATATCTTAAATTTATTATATTCATATAATATTATCATGAGACTCCTGATTTGTAAAATTGTAAAATTGAGAAAGCGATATCTTATACACAAATCAATAGACGAAGCTTTCCGTTCCTGCCACCACCTAGCGTGCGAGGGAAGAACACACGTTGTCGCTTCGCGAGTTTCAAACCAGTAAAGTTTCGACAAAATTTTCCAAAACATTGAACTGATGATTCAATTTTGACATTTTCGACCTCCTCGGCGACTAGTGGAGTCTCCGTCCACACCCCACCCAAAACTGCCCCCCATCACGGGTTAAACAAATAAAAACTGCTACACAAAGCTCTTTAAAACATGTGTAAAATTATTGTTAAAGTTGTTTGTTGTGGTAATTTGTAATATTTACTGTTGTTGCAGTTTCGATTTTTGATGGCTAATGCTAAGATTCAATTTTAATTGCAAATTAAATATATCTTCTGTGTAATTTTCAAACAGTTGAATCAACAGTATATAGAACTATTCATGTTTAGATGGCTTTAATGATTGTGAGTGAAACTAATGTTTACATTTATTTGTTGCTGAAGAGGAACTTAAGAAAATACAAATATTAGCAATGTAGTGTTATATGCCTGACACGTAATGTTGTAATACATTACATTTCAGTACATTTTAGAGTAAGAAACCAAAAGTTGTGACCTAAAACAGAAGCAGCATAGTTGATAAATATTTGTAATTATAAGCTACAAAGTGTATGTATGTAATACGAAAATAGAGCGAGATTAACGTCGTAGATTATTGTTGCCAGTTTGGTCAACTTTAGAAGCAATGGCTTCGAGTCAGGATGCCTGGTACCTGTCGCTCCTAGTAAGAAATAAATAAACTTTAATCACCTTCATTATTATTTATTATTTATTGCCGTATTGAAATGTGAAATAAACAAACTCTCTTTTTCATAGGGAATGGCTGAGTATTTCCGCACCTCAAATCCTCCAAACATTAAGTGTTGCATTCAGTGTCTTCAAGCAGTTTTCAATTTTAAGCCACCTCTCAGAGTTGAAGCTAGGACACATTTACAACTGGGAAACATACTCCTAATTCATACAAAAAATGTGGACCTTGCCAGAAATCATTTGGAGCAAGCCGTGAGTTATTTTACATATTGCATATTTAGAAAACTGAGGATGATGATATGATCCCTTTGTAATCTGTAATTTGTAGTGGTTTTTGTCTCAAACGATAAGCAATTTTGATGATGTTAAGTTCGAGGCGGCCAGTTTACTTTCTAACTTATACGGAGAACAGAACCAATATAATTTAGCCAAACCTATTTTACGGAAAGCAGTAGGTAAGTAATTTTTTATGGTTCACATTTTTTATTATTATAGGCTGGTAGTATGCAACATTGGTTTGACGCCGTTATAAATATATTTCGATATTTGCAAAAAGGTGATCATGTTCTAATGAAAGAGAATCTCAAATCTCCTTCTACCACGAATCGTTGTAAAACATTCTTTCTGAATACAATACAAGTATACATCAGTCTTGAGTCAACCAATGCGTTGCATAGCATATACTTTGACAGCATGATTTTTGACATTTTTGGTATATTTTAGAGTTGTCGAACGCTAACGTGTATTGGCACTGTAGGCTGATTTTCCAGTTAGCTTCAGGTGAGTTTCCGGTTAATTTTTTTACTAATTGAAATCAACGCGTCACATTTCTCTATCTTTACTGTGTGCTTGTACTAAATTTAAAATAATTTATTTTCCCTGGAAAGTCCATGCAATGGAGAAGGACTATCAATCTGCATGCAGGTAGGTATCGAAGTAACTTATTAATGAATAAAAATATAATCGTAACACCGAATCAACAATTACTAAATAACTAAGAGAATTTTTCTTACTGTCGCAGTCTCTTGGGATTTGGTGTCGACTATGGTAAGTTTTCGAGAAATATAGGAAATACTAAGAGATTTTGGAAATGTGATAAAAATAGAAACTATTAAATGTAATGAATCATTGAAAGATTAATTCTTATCCGAAGAGTAGGATAAAAATTTTGACAAGGGCAATGTAATCATGATATCGAGAAAACTTGGTTCGATTTGTGGTGAAAATGTTGAAACGTGCAAATGTTGCCTGGAAAGCGGGGGGCGAAAACCGAATTTTCAAGGATTTTCTTCTACCCGTTTTCCAAAAAAAATAGAAATTGAGCCTACACTAGAAAATACAATTCGTAAACCGAAATGTAATTTGCCCTATTCCAATTTTATAGCCGAGTATTCGTCAGCCAATTATACCCGTGTCTTGTTTCTCCTAAGTAAAGGAATGGTAAGAATAATCACAAATGCATTAAGCCTTTTTGTAGTGTTCATTATGTAATAAAAATACATGCATTTTGATGTAGCTTCTACTTATTGCCAAACGGTATCAAGAAGTTCATCCATTACTTCAACAAGCTTCATTACTTGTGGAACAGTGGACGGGAAATCAACACCAGAAGGAGTACCTTAAAGTTTTTTTTCTTGTCCTCCAGGTAGAGTCATATATGATCTTATAATTCTCGTGTTTATAGATAATCTTATTCATTTACGTAATTTTTTTGAAGGTTTGCCACTATCTTATGGCAGGACAAATTAAAAGTGTAAAACCAAGTCTTAAACAATTACAACAAAGTATTCAAACAATTACTCAACCTTCGTGGCCATCGGACGAAGGTACACATTAATTTTATCTGCATCAGGCAGGGTTCTGCACCAAAACAAATCGAGTAGACTATCATGGACATTATTAATATTTTGTAGAACTTGTCACGGAAAATATTGGTGACATGTTTATGTGGATGCCCAAGGAGCACCTGTATGTCCTAGTTTATCTCATAACTGCAATGCATTCCATGCAAGGTGGATACCTGGATAAAGCACAAAAATATACGGACAAGGCCTTGATGCAGATTGAAAAACTAAAAAGTAAGCTCATACACATGAATGCAACACAATGAGATATTACCACTACCTGTAGTCTAAGGATTTGTCTTGTATTTCGTAGATGCTGATCAGAAACCATTCATATTACATACATTTCATATGCTTCTGTTGGTAAGTTTCGAAAACTAGGAAATACAGAAGAGTGTAAAAATCAAAATACTGCATGCTTTTTACTACCCTATATTCATCTATTGCTGTATAAATGTTTGTGGTCTAATTTTTGGTCTAATCTTCATCCAAATATAGGAACAAATAATTATGTGCAGACTCGTTATGGGAAAGGTATGAAATATCAGTAAATTTCTATACATGTATCAATTATCCAAATTTTAAAATTAGGTTCATTGAATGAACATAACTAAATTTTAATTATTGCAATACCTTTTTTTGGGTTTCAGAAAACGCTGGCGTTGCAAGTAATTTTAAACCGACATATCAACTATAAATATATCTAATCATATTTTAAACTTGTTCATAATGCTATTTTCAGGAAATTTCACATGCGTGTGCACTGTGTCAACAGCATCCTAAATTGCTTGGTGAGAGATCATATTACTTGTATAAATGTGTAGTGCTTAGTTTCGACATTATATGGGTATTTTTTCTAATTCATAAAGCTACTCATAAAGCTCCACTTAACACCTTACTCGGCTTGTATGCCATGTCCATGAATTGTATGGAGGCCGCAGGTAACTAAAATTATTCATATCATTTATTCATATAATTGATTATTATTGAAATTACAACTATTCTACTTATTTATAGAGGTTCAATTTACAACAGCCCTGCGGGTATGTTTGTTTGTATGACAATATTTTTAATTTAAACTTGCAAGTTGCAAGAAAGACTATGACACACGATAAATACAAATATACTTATAAATACTTTTACATACTATATATGCAGACATCCCAAGAACGTGAATTGTGGACTTTTGTGCACTTAAATCTCGGAATTGTTTACCTTCGGACGAAACGGGAAACCGAATTTCAGACAATTTTGGAAAGGATAAATCCAGAAACCTTGCCTTCCGCTTCACACTCTTTACGTGCTGCCGCGTATTATGTTCAAGGGCTCCAGTCATTTTTTCAGCAACGCTACAACGATGCCAAGTACATATAATTTTATAAAACTTACTTTTATTGTTGTATTTTCATTATTTCTTATCTTGTAGGAGATATTTGAGGGAAAGTTTGAAAATGGCAAATGCTGAAGATTTGAATAGACTAACGTCATGTTCTCTTGTACTTCTGGGTCATATCTTCCTATCTCTTGGAAATAGCAGAGAAAGTATGAACATGGTTACGTAAGTCCTTTTTGCGAAATATGATAAATATGAACAGAGAGGGATGCCTATGTAATTTTTGTAATAATCTTTTTGTACGCGTTTCCAGCCCCGCCATGCAGTTAGGTTGGTTAATAATATTCATATGGAATTGTTGAGAAAATTGTAACTGACTTTAATTCATTCGTTTGGAAATTTCTTTAGCCTCAAAAATCCCTGATGTGCATGTTCAATTATGGGCAACTGCAATATTAAGAGGTTCGCACCCTCGTACATACCTACTACTGCCATAAGTTTTGACCACTACACAAATTAATGTAGCGGACTCAGTTTATTGAATTTTGAAAAAATAGCGATATCACGAGAAAGCCCATTAAATTTCCTACAAATTATACCAGGCACTTTTCAAAATTTCCTCCATTCGAAGCTACAAGAGCCCAAAGTCTAGGTATCCACATCCCACTCGCAGTACGCACTCATTACAAGAAATATTAGTCTCATTTCTAAGCGACAGATTTTTTCTCGGATTTCAAACTTGTATGTCGTTTAGCACAAGTATCTAGCTTCAGTTTGGACCACATGTCATATTCCAGAAGGTTGAAGTTCGACGGCAGTGAATTTTATTCTCGGTCCGAAATGGAGTCAGAAATTTTGGATTTCAACCAGCCATTTAGAATTTTGGTCTCATGAGCAGGACCCGAGCCTTGCTTGAATGTCCAGTAACTATTTTTAATTGAGTGTGGTCCAGTGGTTCTCCTATTAGCTCGATAACATCAAAAAAATTTTTTTGACAAGAAATTTCACCCCCAGAGGAATAAAATTCACTTTTTTCACCAAATCCAATCCACGACGAATAAAAAATCTCAGAATCTGGATGGTGGGTCCGATTACAATTTTTAAAATTTTTATGAATAATATGGACCGGTGGGGTGTGGACACAGTGCCTTTAATAATTTTATATGGCCTCAATTGTGAAAGTTTACTTATCCTTCAAAAATACTTATTTCCATTTTTCAAGCGCGTACCGCATGATCAGGGCCCGGCTTTTGAGGATCCTATTTTTACTTGGCGTGAAGTTAGCAAGTGTTTCTTTTCACATCTTAAAGACATAAGTCCAAGGTCGAGTTTAGAGGCCTGGGACGTAGTTTTACTTCGCCCGTTCATTTGTAGCGAAATTTTTCTTTGGGTCCGGCATGAATTCGGCCGAAATCAGGTTTTGCGCGCCTTGGTGATTTTTTGTGACCTTTTTGACCGTTCCCTTCAACTCGATTTTCGGTTATCAACACCCCCAATGTTAGTGAATCATTTTATGGTACGGTCGACTATCTTGCGATTAGTTCCGATTTTTAATAAGCTATTGAAAAATGGCGGATTTTTATGTTTACCAAAATGTTTCTGAAAAATTGCAACACGTCGATTTGTCCGGTCTGTCATTTTAGCACCTTGTATCACGAAAAATTTCAGAACATGGTTTCTGCTAGACAATTGCATGGGGAATTCAATAGAAAATAGTACAACTGGCTAACATAACTGCTACTGCTGTTTTTGGCGTGCGGAATGCGTGAGACAGAATATATGGCAGTAGTAGGTAGTATGGTGTAAAACATATCGTATCAAGCATATAATTTTTAATCCACTTGTTTTTAATTATCGTGTTTCAGATCTCTACCGATTATGCAGTGAAACAGGACGTGAAACGGAGAGCATGCAAATGCACTGCAATTTCTCTCAGATGCTTCTCAAAGACCATTTTGCGGCTTCTCAGCTACCCGAACACAGTTTGATAAACTGGTCCGAAGGAGATTTCCCTGTTCCAGTTGGTCTTCCTACTGGTCCAATGCCATCATCATCTAGCGTTGTGCTGTGACGTACATCGTAAATTTTGTCTACCACCCCCAAGGGCTCAAGCAATATTGCAACATCGAGACGAAATATGCAAAATCATTTTTCATTTTTCAACAAATGTACTGTAAAGTGGATGAGAAGACGGACGACAACAGACCTGTTCCACTAACAAAGCAGAACAGAACCCGTACTAAACTCTAAAAAATAGTCTTTCTAACAAAGTTTACCTTCACTATACTACTAGAACTACTACTACTTCGTTGCGTCCACTTGTTAAATTACTCAAAAAAGTCGACCAACAAAGTTGTTGGCGAGTTTTTACTTCATTGACAAAATATTATGAAAGTTGCATTAAATCGTCAAGATCAATACCTTTAACACTTTTTAATATGGCAGCTACAATAATCAAGACTTCCGATTACTACGGAATGTTTTTCATGATTTGTACAACAAAAATGTGAAAAACATTACTAGTTTTGAAAAACGTATCTCAACTTTGGACATGAAAATTATCATTGTGAAGTAGGTTAAGCTTATTTATTACTATAATTGCAAAGAAAATAGCCGACAAAGACGTAAGTTTATATTCCTTATACGCAACAACATCGATCGACGATAATTTATTTGTATCTTTTGTTTCTTACAATTTATCACTGAAATTATAACCATTAGACTGTTAGAATGTATGTGCAATAAATATTGGACAAACATCATATTATACATCAAGAACAAAACTTTAATGAGATTAAATTTTAATTGTAGTTGCATATACTTATCCTTACTATAATGAATGGATAGTCATTCTGTTGCATTGGTCCAAATCTCAAATATTAACATATAATTATAATGATCATATCTTCTCAAACTTTATGGTCATCAAGTCCACTGTCCCCTTTAGACTTTCTTGACCCGACACCGTTTCCTGAGCTAACCTGTTCCATGACAATGGGGATATGGGGGGAAGTTGGATCTGTTGAGGCCCATGATTTTGCTTCCGATTCATGAGCCATCTTTTTGGCCACCATTCGATTATACTCATCAATTTCTTGCTGATATTTTGGTGAAGTAATTCCCAAATAATACGCAAGTGTCTCGCCAGAGTATTCCATCCCACCCATGACGGAAGAAGCTCCCTTATGGGAATAATATTTTAACCATTCTGGCCACGACAAACTCTTCTGAAATGATAAAGGTAGAAGGACTTCTTGGGTAAATATATATGCATTTGATCAATGATGGAAGGCTTACGGGATCCTGCCCATTGTGCTTTTGGTCTTCCACCTGTTCTTCTACAAACTTGGTATTATCTGATGCAGTATCAATTTCATCCTCAACCTCCATGGTCGATCCATCACTGAAATGTATCAACTTTTTGGGCTTCTTTGTTGATGTAGTGGCATTGGAATGTGGAATCTGCAAGTTCAACATAACATTTATTACACATACATACAACTTCACATTACGAATCGTAATAATTTACGAAAACATTACAGCTACACAAACACAAGTTCGAAAAACTTGAACTTATCTCACCTCGTAATTATCTATTGCTGACATTGTTTAGAATCTGCATAAATGTTACACAAAGAGGAAATTGAGAAAAGATGAGACTGGGTGAGAATTTGAGAATTTTCGACGGCTTGTTGTTGTTGTTGTTGGGTTTTATGTGGTGCCGCTAGACTCGAGGATTGTGAGAACAGGGAGCCCCAGCCAGAGAGAGAGCGAGGAGGTAGGAAATCTGAATCCGGCTTCCTTTCTCTAGACTCGCCACCACCATCTCCGTCGCCACCGAGGACTGCCTGCCTCCCAGCAGAACTTTCTCCACTTTCTCTCCAACCACGCCCCTTCTCTCAAGTGACCGTCGCTACTGTCACGGGTAAGAAGTCACCTCTGTCCCGTCCTTCCTGTCAACCATCCCATAAGCGTGGCATTATATTACTTGTTTTTAGTAAAATAGTATGGCTTGGGTTTCAAAAACTCTTGCTCCTTCTTTATCAAGCACCAGCAAAAGACACCCCACATTAGACTTGCTTAAACCTTAAAAAAGCTAAAACAAGTGGTTACTTTGCATACACAAAATATTTTGTAGGAAAGAATCTGATTTTCAAGCAGAAACATTGTTTAAATATATATGCTTTTAGTGTGGCTGGTCAAATATGATAATATTGCATAAAATAATAAGTCGTAAACGTCCAGAAGAAACAAGGGAACATGGTCGTTGAAAGTAGTAGGTTTCGTCCAGCTCTTTTCTGACATCCTAAAATTGCATAAATATCTCATTTGCTACGATTTCATCGATGAGCTGCTTCTCCGCTTTTCACTTGTCATTGGCGAAAAAAGAAACCAACCTTTAAAAATTTTGAGCTTTATCTCATGTATTGTGTGGTACATAACACATAATGCATGACCTGCGTTAGTATGATTATTATTTTGAATCCCCATTTTACATATTACGCGTTTATTATAGGTCTGCCGGCGCTTTGCGTGAGAATTACATTAACTTTTCAACTGTAGACGTGGACTTAACCAGTCGGCAACAAAAATGCTAATCAGCTTAAAACTGACTACACCCATTCCCATAAAAACGGAATCAACGGATGAAACTCCGGATTCCGAGGAAAGTACAGCGGTTCCTGTATTCCATGAGGATGACTTCGATTTTTGTGCTGGGTGTAAGACTCCATTTAGGGGAGCCAAGATATTTAACGTCCCTGCAACCAGTTCTGCACAAGTTGCCGAAGAAAGATCAACTGAAAGCGTTGGTGGAGACGTACCCTCTCAACCAAGACGAGGACAACAACAAGCAGCTCTCGACGAGGGGGAGGAACGGAAAGTGAACGAATTTTACTCGTTCAACGTTGTCACTGGGGAATTACTCCACGTCACTGCCCTGCAAGGTTACAAATATTTTAGTTATACCCCACAATATTACAAATAAATAATTGTAGAATTCACTGATAAAATATTAATCGAAATTCGTATCACCAATATGAGCAACGGTAATAGTAAGCATAATCTCCTGTTAAATATTTAAATACATTTTGGAAATAATCTAAACCTCAACTTCAGTATTAATATGTATGTATACTGAAATCGGTTGTTGTGGCTAACAATAAGGATTTCATTGCTAGATTATCCAACGTCTCATTCATATCTCATATCTTACATGATTACATTGAATGATAAAGGTATGACTTTTTTATTTAGCTCTTCTCTCTGTATTCGAACTCCGGCTTACCAAAACGGCTCCGGGACTCAATTTGCAAGATGTGAACGATAATCTTGGTTTTTGTCAAAATTGTGGGACTCTCATCTCCCAGTTGTACAAGTTGCACCAAGAAGTTGCAGGATTAATTCAGGTAAACCACATGAATTAATCAACTTAATAATTCTCCCCCTGTGCTTGAGTCAAATTGTGATGTATTATACATGCATTGATTCATTAATGTAGGATGGGTCTGTGGTGTCTAAGCTGCTGCAGTATGAAGACCTGTTAACCGATAATCAAGAAACGGACTTTACTGCACCTAAAAAACGCAGAAAAAATACAAATAAAGCGTCAAATAAGGTTAATGGCATAATGGGTGGTATGATGAGTGATATGGATCACGATGGAAGTTCGTCGTGGAATGATGATGCTGACGAACAACATGACCCTTCGTGGACTAATGATGATTATGATATGGGTAACAATGAGGATAACTCGTATGAAAATGCTAATCACGAAGAGAGTGAAGTCAATATCAAACCTCGATTAACCCCAAGATCCGTGGGGATCAAAATAACGAGTGTTGCCAGCACGAAATCTGTAGTAGTGGATGACCTCAGCGACAGTGGTATGTCCAATTTAAAACGACAAATATTTTCACTCGTGTACTAATATCCTTATAAATTAGTGGTTTGCTTCGCATGCACGATACATTCAAATAAACTAAATGTTGTATTTTTTAATTCTCTTTGGCTGTAGGAGACAGTGGATCACGCAGACGACGGAGTTCAACGAAAAACGTGGATTACAGAAAAGTCTTGGAAGGTCAACATATTGATGGTGTTGACGACGACGATGACGATGAATGGAATGGAGACCGTCGTCGTAAATCTAGTAAGACTACAGCTAGGAAAAAGACTGGAGGAGTGGCACCACCTACTCCATCGAAAAAAGGCCGCGGTCGACCTTCAAAAGCAAATTCCCGTGCAAAAGTTGTAGTCCCCCCTCCAAACGCCAGACATAAGGACTCAACTTTTAAATCACCTGCCGATAAGGCACGTGAATCAACTTGTACCATTTGTCACAAGTTGTTTCCAGCCAGGTATGATGGGTCATGTTAGATGAAATAAAGTAGCAGTAAAGTTAGTGCAAAAATAACACATGACAGTTTTTTTTTCTTTTGTCACAGTTACTTGACGGAACACATGAACGTGGCTCATAATGCAGTAGCAGGCCAACCTTGCTTAATTTGTGGCAAAGTGTTTGAGAATAGCTATAAGGCGATTAAACATCTTTTAACTCATGTACCAGGTGAGCCAAACTTGATTAAACTATTCAACTGCTTTTTAGTGTGGGCGAATGTGAACGAATATATGTTCATGAAGATGATGTATCTAATTAGACGAACCAAATTTTAATTACTCGCTGATATTTCAGAAAAAGCATTCGGATGTTCTCGATGCCATGATACTTTCAAAACTGCTGGTAATGTGTCAGCAATTATATGGATTAGTACTTTAACTTCAAAATTACCTTGAACTAATTCTAATAAGTCTACAATTATGTCTTGCAGAGGAACGAAATTTACACACTAGTACCCATCTCGATTCGGACAAGAAACTGGAATGTCCAAAGTGTCCAAATTCTTTTACATCCCTATTGCTTTTGAATAAACACGAAGCACAAAAACATCGCCAAACAAAAAGCTTTCTTTGCTCAATTTGTGCTAAACTTTTAACTGGAAAGGATGAGTGGATCCAGCACATTTTGAGCCATGGGCCATTCTGTTGTTATTACTGTAAAGTGTTTCTACGCCCAGGTAATAAGCCAGTGTGTAAACAGGAAACACGTTTTCATTCAGCATTTGATTTTGTTTCACTAAACGACATTATTTTGTTATATACAGGTGAGTACAAGAAGCACGTTCAAACTGTGCACATCAGCAGACCTAAGTTGACTGCTTCTTCAACTGGCCCAATTGCGGAAGTAACATTGGACTGATTGCATTCGAAATGATGCAACGAATGTATAAGGGAAAGGATGAATGTAATATAATACTATATTAAGTACTTTTGCAGCGATTCAATTTAATCCTATTTCCGTCACTATACTACGTATCACATAATACTATTAATAGCTAGTATATTTCCAATAGAGGGTTCAAGTTATTTTCTTATCATATTGTACTTTTTATAAATTTCATACCTATATTTTCAACTCAGTTGACCTTGATTCTTATTATTCCTATTAGGCGCTCTTTGATAATAAATGTATACAACTTTACATAGAGTCACATTTGTTAAAAATCCATTTGTATGTCGAAATACAATTAAACAATTAAATATGCATTTATCCTATATTTGAAGGTGATCAATATAATAGTGTGTTACTTGTGTCTGGAGATAATATTTTAATTTATAATTTAATATTTTAAAAATACTTAATACTATGGTCTTAATTTTATAGGTTAGACTATTGATAGTTAATACAGATATAGACAGATATTTGTAGACTAATAAAAACATGATAAAGTGACCACTATTGTGCATCAGGTTTTCTGAACTGTAAATATAATATACCTTAGTTGGTTACTCATACTGTGTTACATAATTTGCATTGTAATTTAAAGATCCTTTAACTTGCATAAATTACAAATTATCTATATATATTGTGCTCTGGTCAAATACCGTCTGATTAATACTTTATAAAACTAGCATCGTTATTCTCCACAAATTTCTTAATGTCTTCGCCGTTCAAACTTTCAGCTGTCTCGGCTTGAATTATTTGAATGAATGACATCATCTTGCTTTTAAACTACTCTTCATTCATCACTCCAAAATGAAGGATATATGCATCGTTTATGTATATTTGTTTTGGTCAATATGCAGCGGTACGTCGTCCTCTTCTTGTTCATATACTCGTAGATTCCAACCTCCCTTGAAAATTCTCTTCAAGTTAAGTCCTTATGCAAAATATACATTTCAATTTAATCCTAATTTTAATTTGAAGAAGCATAATTTTGTTAAATTTTGGAGCATATTGACTAAAACAATTTTTTGCTCAAATACGAAGCGGTCGAGTCTCATCATGCGAGTAAATGCTTGATCCTTATAAACACAGTTTTATAAATATATTCACACAAATCCTTCTACTTGTGGATAGCTAAATAGCGTTGTTTTAGTGTAGGGTGTAGCATGTCGTTTAAGAATGGAGTTTCTGTTAAATGGGAATCTGAGATTTTTAGGCAAGTAAATAAGTACATACAATATAGAGCTATTCTGTAGACATACATACATATACACGCCTGCATAGCTCTGCACCACCATGATCATTGACTATCTTTTTAGACTACGTTTGGCGATACCATCCCACCGATAATTTGCATGTGGTGCGGATACTGTTTGTGAATAGTTGAATGAGGATGATATGGGGGCAGACTTGGTCTTGTTTTGGGACTCGGGATAACTATACTAACTGTGTATGAATGCAAAGAATCTATTAATAGTAGAAACAACCCGGGGAAAATCTTCAGATCGGAGAAATTCACATCTTTCTTCTTCCTAGTCTGAGTGCCGCAATTCGTGGTTCAGACAAAGTCTCATTTCCAGAGTTCAATCTCTTTTTCGTCGGGGGTTTTGTGAGTACCAATTCGAAAATTTTAAAACAGTGAAGTTCAAGTGGGTGAAAGTTGTTGCTCTACATAATTTTCAATATTTCCAGATTTCCCTAATTGTTCATCATGTCCGACGAAGAATACGAAGAAGAGGTTGAAGAGTAAGTACATATACATTAAATAATTAATCGCCAGCTAATCAATGCTCCAATGTACAAGTAGCACAGACGTAATATTACATGAGATAAACGTGATGGTGGCATTTCTTTACAAAGTACAAAGCAATGGAAACTTTCCGCTTTCTCCACACCGCACATTGTCAAGTATAGCTTTTGAAATTGTCAAGAGGAAAAGTGGCAATATTTACGGAAAGATTCCTCCGGAAACACTTTACGACATTTGGAGCATCTCCTTTCATGGTCATGTATCTTGGTTTGCTGGTCGGATTGCGAGTGATGCACTGATTCGGACTGAAATTCACCACCGTTCTGCTTCCACCACAGATCTTTGCTTCCATAGGACAGCATTGGGTTTCATGCATTTTAGCGTTACACATGTTGCAGCAGAAGTTCAGTAGAGCACAGTACACGATTTTTACCATCGGAAATGCTCCGGGAATGGATGTGCTAGGGCATTTTTAGGAATAGAATCATCGCCGAAAAAACTCTTGGCATCCGATGCATAGTTTTATCCGTACGTCGACTCCCGAAGTTCCAACAGCCGTTTATCCTAACTTATTAATCACAGTTCATATGTATAAAAATATGGCATCGGCTCATTACATAAAACTGTATGTAAGTAGCTTTATTTCACAAAAAATAATCACAAAATCCCCAAAACCATACAGTAACGATCAAACCAGGATTTAATGTTATTTGCCGACTATGAAACGATGAATGAATGAACGTGTAAAATATTGAAGTTTGTATTTGTAAATAAATGCATGCAAACACTTGTAATATACGTGACAAATTTTCTAAATCTCTGAATGTCATAACAGTATTTAATGATATTCTTATAATTGTGATTTAGGGAAGAGGCCGAGGCGGAAGCCGAACCAGTGTAAGTTTCTAAATAAGTATATTTACATGCTTACATAATATGTAATTAGTTTACCATTAGTAATATTGTTACTATTATTACTCTACATTTTCAAACTTTTTAGAATTTATTTGAGCACAAACTGCTTTCATTTAGTACAAGCTAGATTTTTAGGATGGCATTTACTTACATATTTGCATTGATATCTATACGATTTTTACAGCTAAGGCAATACAATACATAAATGCTTCTAGCTGTCACGTCCTAAGTTTTGTACTCTCTGTTTCGGTAATTACAGGGATGAAGCACCGTAAGCAGCTTTTAAGTTTTTGTCATTAAACCATAGTCAATTTGAAAACTGACCAATTTTGCTGATTTTTCTTCGTTTGCATATTTTTGCAGAAAGTAAGTTCGACTGAGCTGCTTAAATGCTCACGTATAATACATATATACTTGTGTTTTACCATTTTTTATACAATTTTTGTACTCTTTCTGCTTTTTGCAATGCTATTTTCGTTCGTAAACTTTTTGTTGGGAACTATATTGTGAGAGACGTTGTTGTTGTTTATGAGGGTGTGATGTATATGTATTTCTGTCAATTACATGTTGGTAGAATATATGTATGTATGTAGCAGTATTTGTTCACGCAGTATATGTGTATCAATAAGTGCAAGCATCAGAACCTGTTACACTAATTTACTCTGACTGATGAGTGAAACATGATTGACAATATATGTAACTGTGAAATCTGTATGTATTTATGTGGTCATTGTAATGAAGCTTCAGAGCTGCACTTTCCTATCTCCTACGTGTACTTTCTTCTCCCGTATTTTTTACCATCTCAAAAAGAAGTTAACATTTCCAGATCTAATGTAATGTCATTTTCTATTTCGCAGGACTCCAGCAGCAGCAAAGTACGTTTTCACCTCTGACGAATCCGATTATTTAACACTTTCCACAATCCCATTTTTAGAACTTTTTCTGATCTCAGTAACAATTTCTGTCCTGTTTGTTAATTGGCTAATATTTTCGTACGTCTGAAGGCACAATTTTAAGCCTTATGTCCAATTCACTCATGCAACAGGACAATGTGACCATACTGAAAAATATATTTGTCATTTGGAATAAAATTCTCTAATAATAATGTCCTCATATAAACGTGATTACATTTGCCTTGGCTGTGCGTATCAGCACTTATGGAATACAGTTTTACATATACACATATTCACAAGTAAAAAAAACTAATTTTTCTAATATCTACTTTGCACCCATTGCTCTAAAGGGAGGATGATAAGCCAGATTTTGTGAAGGTAATCAATTATTAGCAACACATTCTGCCCTGATACCGAAGGCTCAAGTTGTTTGACCTTTGCACGTGGTCTATCTCTCTACAGAGGAAGGAACAGAAGCATTCTGAGCTCGACGAGCAGTTGCAGGGCTACATCAACGAGTGGAGAAAGCAGAAGCAGAGGGAAGAGGATGAGTTGGTTGCCCTCAAGGAGCGTCAAGTCAAGCGACGCGTAAGTTGTGAGGAACAGAATCGACGTACAAATTGAGAAATTTAATGATACAAAAGTAACCTCATTTCTCAGGGGCTTCGAGTCCAACAGGAGCAGGCTCTAACTCTCAAGAAGAAGAAGGAGGAGCAGGAACGCCAAAAGGTTATCCAAGATGCCAAGAAGAAGGAGGTACGTAAGAGATAAAATGACAAGTAGTTTTTAAACAATGTTCGTCCAAATTATCCAATTTTTTTTATATTTGCACTTTTATAATTTAACGAATGTTGTATCAGGCCGAAGAGAAGCGTAAGAAGGTGGAAGAAGCCGAAAAACTTCGCCAACTTATCTTGAAGGGAGAACAAGTGAGTTTGAAAATGCGCATGCGAGCAGTACATGCATGAATTAACATTCCTTGTTGATAATTAATTTTATATTCAAGATATAGTTGTGCCTACATTTATCTCTAAATTAATTAATAGGAAAAGCGACGCAGAATGGATGAGGATAGAAAGAAGCGAGCTCAAGAGGAGCAGATGAAGAGGTTAAGGGAAGCAGAGAGCCGAAAAGCCGTACGTCCATATTTACTTGCATAGCTCACATACAAATTAATAGAAATTATATGGAACCAAACACGGTTATCTGGAAAATAATGCATTTCATAATGTAATACTTTTGAATAAAGATGGGTGGACCTAAAGGCTACGGTTCTGGAGCTGCCCCTGGTTCGTGTTGTAATTTTATCATGATTAATTACTTTCATTACAAAATTATTCCCATCTGATTAGGCCAGGAAGGAGCTGCCGAAGCGTTGACAAAGACCAAGGAGCAGTTGGCTGAAGAGAAAGCCATTTGCTTGTCCATTCGTATCAAGGTATAGAATTTTTAAGTTCAGTTGCATACAATATAATTTATTCAAGGTCAAAATAGTCAAACTGTGTATTAAAAAATATGTAAGTTCGGAATTAACAATAGTAAACCTCTTATAACGGATTATGCAAAGATCCATTGTCCAAGTGTAAAAGTTTGACGGACGATTGAAGAACACGTCTTAAGGCATACATATGTAAAACACTAACTAATAAACTCAGATACCAGTCTTGTTCAGTATTGTTAAAATTAGAAATTGGGAGAAATTTATACAAAAACACAGTAAAATATTTGAATACTTGGATATATTGCTAAAAATCAATTATGAATCTCATGGATCGTGTTTTTTTGTGTTCATGTGAAGCCTTTGGAAATTGACAGCTTGAGTAAAGACTCTCTCAAGAGGACAGGTAAGTTTATTGGTTTATTCTATGAATCATATTACAAAAAGCAAGTGAAATACAATCAGTAATCCGAAGTGTGAGAAAGCAAGACTTAGATGTGTGGTGTATAAAATTCGTTATCGAAAATCAGCTCATTAGAAGAGATTTCAGTTCTTATGACTAACGACCATTAAATAAATCCTGGGTAAATTTAACTGCAGGACGGTGTTTATGAGTTCATCTTATGAAGGAATATAGGTGAAAGTTAGTTTGCAAATAAATATTCAAAAAATTGAACGAAAATAAGAAAACTGGGCATATGTATAATGCCGTATGAATGATGACCCTACTCGGTAATGAGTTTTGGTCTCAAATTATGTAATAATACTGCACTAAATGTCTGGATTGTACATGATGGATTACTGCACCATTCACTTGACCGTTTACGCTGTAGCAGGTTGACGTAATATAATTTTATTAAAACATTTCCAGCGGACCAGTTGTGGAACAAGCTCGTCACCCTTGAAACTGAACGCTATGACTTGGAAGAGAGACAGTAAATATTACAATTAAAATGTCTACACGAATGTTAGTATGAATTTAGAAATCTAATCGCACTTTTTAATAATTTACATTTTAGGCGCCGTCAAGATTACGATGTATGTAAAATTTTGAGTACATGAAATTAAATATTATGGCGAGTACACATATTTAATGAAAATGTTTATTCAGCTTAAAGAGTTGAAGGAGCGACAGAAAATGCAGTTGAGACAAAAGGCGTTGAAATTGGGATTGAATCCTGAAGCCTTAACTGGAAAATACCCTGTAAGGTTTTACTCCATTGTTCATTAAAATGGTGCAATTCTCTTAAAATAACGTGATATTAACAAACATTAGCCAAAAATCCGACTTGCTTCCAAATTTGAGAGGCGAGTGGATACCCGATCCTACGAAGAAAGAAAATCTCTATTTGAAGGGGTATGTATCTAATTGAGAGTAAAATCAGACCTTCACAGTTTTCATGTGCTTTCTCTTTAGGGCTATGGTAAGATTATGAATGAGACCAATGACAAAAACTGGCAAGAACGGATGGACGAGTTTAAGAAACGACCAAAATGTAAGCAATATGTGAACGAATGACATTCATTGAATGCCACACGTTCACCAAACTCTAGACATAGAACTCTGTTCCTTAACGAATTTTTGGTTAATAATTTGCGTCTTGTGAACCAGCCCGACTCCCAAAATGGTTTGGAGAGAGGCCTGGCAAAAAGAAGAACGACCCACCCACTCCAGAAGAAGAAGTTCCCGCGGAGGTAGGTTTCCAGATCAAAATAAATTGTTCACATTCCATAGCACGTTTATATTATTGACAATTTATCGGTGTACATAGGCTGAAGAAGAAGCCCACGTTTACGAGCCTGAGCCTGAACCTGAACCTGAAGAAGAAGCTGAGGCTGAGGAAGCGGCCGAAGAGGAGGAAGAGGTAAATACTTGTACATCCCACTTTTGCGTCAGAATAACCAACTTTGGGTTATTCAAATCGTTACATAATTTTTTACCACTTTAGGAGGAAGAAGAGGAGGAGGAGGAAGAGGAAGAAGAATAAATTAATCTGTATGATCGATCTAGGAGGGTTAATAAATTATTACGTCATGTGTGCATTGTACATCTCTCTATCCATTACGTCTCAATTCTATACACTTTTGTCTGTTTAATTCGCAGAACTAAATTCTAAATTTCTATACTAATTGACAATCGAAACGTCCGTTTCCAATTTTATTCACCTCTGCAATAAAACATACCATCTTTGTTCAATTTATTATGCGTTCTTTGCTTTCACTTTAAGAAAACTCTCATCTCTAGAACTTGGCAATGAGCAGCATTTTTTCAAACTGGTCAGACTTTCTTACTTTTCTCCCCATTCCCACTGCATACTGCGTATTAACTAACGCTGGTAGTTCATGGATTTTTTGGTGCACAAGTAAAAGTGGACATAATTTCGGGCAGGCGGGCATTGGTTTGCGCACTGGCCGATCTGGCCGGAGATTCGTTAGTGCACGTCTTGTGTGGAAGTGGCTTCTCCGCTTGTGAACTCCTCCCGGGTAACTGGGCATTTCCCGAACCAACCCCCAACTACCAACACTCTCCCCAACTGTGAGCAACGCCAAACCAGATAAACTCTAACTAACTGTGTATGAGGCATTGGCTGGCTGGCTGGCTCTTTCCCCTCTCCTTTCCCTCAACTTTCACTTAATACTCAACCCATGCAAACTCGGCCTTCCATTCCCTTCGTATATGCATCCACAAGCTGGCTTGTGCTGCCTACCATCAAGGTTATTTAATCCACGGGAACAAGTTGGTCTCTTATCAGTCGGAGATCTTATCTTATCAGTGGAGCATCGGGATTACGAAACCAAGTGAAAGTAAAGGCTATGCAAGCAAACAAAGGAACAGTTTCATAGTGCCCCAACATGGTGACAGAAGAGAAAAACTAATCTCAACTTGCCCCTCATCCATACCGTGTTAGACTTTGTTACCGTATATTTCTTGCTTATCGCAACTAGATTTTACAAAAAGTAACGACGTTGGTGAAAGTGTGATTGCAAGACTTTTGAATTGTTGCTGTGCTTTGGCTTACAGAGAATATATCGCGTCGAGTACAATTTAATCCACGTGAACATGGTAAAAAGATATATATGTATGTAATTTCTCCTTAGAGTGATTGTGAGTGATTTTAGAGAGAATTTTGCAAGATTATTGTGATTAGAAGTCGACGGGCTTTCGCAAATAAAATACTTAAACATAATGATTTCAAGTGAAGAAATACGTTATAAAGTCCTTGAAAGGGGAAGTTGATACAAATCACAAAAGCTGAAACTCATTTATTTAATCACTGATGATGACGGAATAAGACGTAAATAATACACTAGTACTTAAGATTAGTGCACTCGTTAGTTGGAATCTGATTTGGACGAGGAGAAAATTGGAAGATACGTAGCTTCACCTATACAGAGAGACATACATACACATGTCTCTGCCATAATGTGCGATACAACAGGGGTAACAAGCATAAGCCTTCGTAATCCGGATTTGTCCCCCATGTCAGACGATTCTAATTCCCACATTCACCACCATCACCACCCTCATGCCCCTTCGAGCACTAGCAAATCCTCTAAACACGGAAGTGGAAGTAATGAGGGACAGAGCAGTGGAAAACAGAATCAAGTAAGCCTTCACAATGACAAATTGAAATTGACAACTTTTTCAACTTTTGAATACGAAACATTTAAAATATTTGCATTTCATTAAGATCGTGTAAAGATGTGTGTAAAGATCGTGCTAAAGAAAATCATCTTTGCTGCTTGTTACCTTATTTATTGCATAATATGATTTTGACAAAAATCTCATCATCCGTCACCAGGTCGGTTCCGTCATGCTTTTTGGAGTCCCGATCGTCTCCCTGGTCATGGAAGGAAAGGAGAGATTGTGTCTTGCCCAGATTTCCAGCACGCTGCTCAAAGACTTCAGCTACAATGAAATCCATAACAGAAGAGTTGGTAATGTGCCTTCCATTTCACTTCTCAGGCATCGCCCTTTGGGCTGGTATTTTGTCCTATGTAAATACGTAGTGATTAAATTTCTGAAATTTTAGCGTTGGGCATCACTTGTGTCCAGTGTACTCCAGTCCAATTGGAGATTTTGCGAAGGGCCGGTGCAATGCCTGTGACGTCAAGACGGTAAGATTTCTTCTCAAGTATTGAGACAAGTGAATAGCGACGACAAGAATAGCAAGGTATCAAATAATTCGGAATGCGAAATAGATGCGGGATGATCACCAGGCGAGAGGCAGAACGGTTATGCCAGAGCTTTTTAGGTGATCATGCTCCTCCACAGGTAGGCGACTTGTTTGCACGTTAAGATTTATGCACGTTGTGGTTAATTTAATCCACTTTCGTTTCTGTTTCTATTTCCAGCTCCCAGAAAATTTTGCTTTCGAAGTGTACCATCAGTGTGGGTGGGGTTGTCGTGGATCGTTCGTCCCATCCAGATACAATTCATCCCGGTGAGTAATTGCATGTCAACCATTGCATTGGTATGCACATACTTTTCATACGTCATAGGGATGAGTGAAAAGATGACACGAGTCTAAAAAAATTTAGTTTCATATGCATTTGAAGTTTGCATAATTTAATTACTTGTTTCTAGTGCAAAATGTATCCGGTGCACCTACTGCCAACTCTTCTTCTCTCCCAACAAATTTATTTTCCATTCTCATCGACTTCCGGAATCTAGTTACGTGCAGCCGGACGCAGCGTAAGACAATACAGCGTTTGTATCAAAGTTTGCATTTAAAAAGAGGTGTACGTACATATCCATGCTTAATTTAGTCGTTTTAAAGAAATTAATTTCAGTTACTTACGTGGCTTTACATTTAGTTGCAAGAATTTTGAGAGAATTCAAACACCTTCAGATTTTTTAAAACAAACTACCCTGTATAATATGTATCACATACAGATTATTAGTGTTTGGGATTAAATGCATTCGACATTAAGGCTTACCCTCAAGCTCGGAGGAGTGAATCGGGTTTGGAGCAATATCCCAGTTTCAACCTTCTCTCTCGCTTTGCAGAATACATTGTAGTGCCTATCTCGAAACTTCGCATCGACCCTGTGGGGGGGAGGAGTCGACCTCAGGGTTCATAATAGTGGAATATGTTGCACTCGTTTTTCTGCGTCTGATGGTATTTTTTTCAAATTTGTTGGACTCGCGCGAAGGGCTGCAAATGGTTTACCATCAAGTAATGTAACCTTATGTAGACTGGTAAACCATTTGCAGCCCTTCGCGCGAGTCCAAAAAATTTGAAAAAAATACCATCAGACGCAGAAAGACGAGTGCAACATATTCCACTATTATGAACCCTGAGTTCGACTCCTCCCCCCCACAGGGTCGATGCGAAGTTTCGAGATAGGCACTACAATGCATTACGCAAAGCGAGAGAGAAGGTTGAAACTGGGATATTGCTCCAAACCCGATTCACTCCTCCGAGCTTGAGGGTAAGCCTTAATTTAAAACTTACCGTGTGCCGAAGTACAATAAGTTTGATGAAAAGTTACGTCATCACGCACCTATAAATGTTATTGTATGGAATTAACAAACGAAGCATACTTATTTAGATCGGGTTCTAATTTTCACTTTAGGAATTTTAATTCATGGAGAAGACATCTCAAGCTATGCGGTGATCCTCCAGAAGACGTAAGTACTTAGATACTTAATACTACTTATCCTTAGTATTATGCTGTAAGACTTTCGTCTGCCCTTAAACCATGAGCCCAAAGACCACTGACCAAAGATGTTCTAAAATTGTGCAGGAAATCTCAGTCTCATCAAATACGCTGTCAATGGACACTGCACAGATTGTGCACGCGTGGGAGGTAACAAATTTCTATTTCCTAAATTGCATGCTTCATCTTTATCTGCACGATTAATGTGCAGATTCATGTACATGTTTAATTCAATTTGACAAAGTGATTAATATCTTTTGAAATGTACTTAAATACTGAGAAAGGTGTCAAATAGAGTTTAAATAAACTAATAGTAAACGATAACAGGTAATAGTTAGGTTAGAGGTTTATCATTAAACCTGAGAAGGTGATACCGAAACAGGAAGCCTCAAATTGACATGTTGTTATATGTCGATCTATGGATTTGTTGCAGGACGTGAGAGCAATGTTTAATGGGGGAACAAGAAAACGGATGTTGGCAGCACATTCCTCCTCTTCCTCCCACCATCACCATCACCACACTTCATCCCGTTCCGATAATCAGGTCCACCGACGTGGTGGTGGGGGAAAGCAGTCTTCAAGCAACTCTGGTACTTCCCCCAGCAGCGGAGGAGGACAAAACAACGGATCCTCAAAACAGGCAGCCGTCACACCTCAGCAGCCACCTTCTCGACCTAATCACCATCATAACCATCATAATCATCATGCACCACCTACTAATCATATTAATGGTCCTACTCTGAACCCCTTATCCTCATCTCCTGGCTTTATTAGCACATTGCCCCTTCACCATCCAACCTCCACCTCCTCGCCCTCCACAAATCACACGTCATCTTCGCCAAGCAATTTCTTGTCGAGCACAAATCCGCTGCTAAGTCCTTCGGGGATCTGGAACCCTGGACTTTCTCCTGTTAGCATGAATTCTGGGAGACTCAACGCAGGTTCCCAACTATCTCACCTTTCACCCTTTCACCCCCTGTCCATCCCCTGGCTTCGACCCATGTTTCCCTTTCCGCACCCATGCCACTTGCTGGCAGCTGAGGCTGCTGGAATATCTGTTTCAGAGAAATTAGCAGTGGCTTCGCTATCCGCTGGGGCAGGACGATCGACAAATCAGTCTGCTTTCAAACCAGTATCCCATCGTTCCAACGCGGAGCACTTATTTTCCTGGTTGAATAACAACAATTCAGGAGTTACGGGAGCGAGTGGAGGACCCACCAGCAGTATTATTCTTGGAGGAACAAGCAGTCTACCTGAAGACCTCTCCACTACTTCGAGTCACAACAACCAGGGTCATGACCATTCTCATCATCCCATCCTTGGTCATCTCAACCGAGAACAGCGCAACAGCTCTCCACAGGAACGACCCTCAGTTTCGAGTACAAATGATGAAAATGATCATCCCAAAATCTCATTCCTTAACACCAAACGAGGAGGAACTATCAATAGTTCCAGCCGACATCAGATTGCTCTCTTGTCTTCGAATGCTGCTAAAAACGACAGCGATGACGAAGAAAACGTAGACATTGAAGAAGTCGAGGAGGAAGAGGAATATTCCTCCACGTCCTTGATTTGGGTCACATCCACAAATAACAACAATAACAACAACAGCGTCAACATTAACATAAGCCGTAAAAAGTTGTCTGTCGACTCCAACTCTGGAGAAGAAAGTTGTTCGGGGGAAGATGAGAAATTTGGTGGTTCTCCCCCTAAGAGGAAACGTTTGTGGGATTTTGATGCGTCTGATAAAGTGAAAAAGGCAGAATTGGCAGTTTGCTGCGATGAAACGACAAGAACTAGTGGATTTGAGTCAAAGGAGTAGTCCACGTTATGCAAAAAAACAGAATAATTAGGAATATCTAGCCATACATACTTACGATTAGCGGAATCGTGATTAAACTCAATTTCCTCAGCTTTCTCATTATATGATGAGAGAAAATGAGATTCGATAATGTCACGACCTCCTCCTTCCTTATCAGCCGTAACAACTTGAATGTTTGAATTGACTTTACCTTATTAACTCTTTATCACTAAATGCATACATACATATGCTGCATAATCTAAAGCCTATGCTTTAATTAACGAGGAAAGGTTAGCTGAGTGAAGGAGGCAGGATCAACTGCCCACTTTCTTTTCATAAGAGTTAATTATCCGTAGAAAATGTCTTCGGGTCGTTCATCCGTTACAATCGATTCCATTGTTTGTTCCGTTATTTTGACACAAATTACACTCACAAAGTTACAAATATTTATTATATCTACAGGTGAATGGCTGCGATATGCCGTCATCCTTGAAATTGAGCAAAGTATATCATAATCTATTTGTCATTCTTATTGTGATTACGTAGAGAAAGCATCCAGTTTGAATAGATTAAGTCTACTTAATTTTATTTCTCAGCCAAGTAAACTTAATTTGGCAGCCCCAAATTAATTTATCACTCGACTAAGCACGACGAGAGAGGAGATGCGTTCACCGTGAATGCATTTTTTTTCTCATATAAAGTATAAATTGAATCAGCAAGGAAGGAAAACGTGTATATGAGCATTGTTTAATAATGAACGTATATAAATAAAATTGATCAATAAAATGTTTATAAAAAGAGTTTTGCTTTTCAAATGAGCATATTATTTTTATTATCATCCGAATGTTGACCTGTATTTTTATCTTGTTTTTCTTACATATTTATTTCATAAAGGTTAAAATAGGAACGAATAATTTATAACTACCTTCAAGTAAAAGTAAGTTTGAGTTAGAAAGGCGACGACGACCAGAGTTGAGTACATTTGAGAAATGAATGTTTGATTTTCTGAGCAGAGAAAGCAGAACAGTTGGCTGAATGCAAATTACCCATGATGACATTTAAGAAGAAGACCATCATTCTCGACCAGCGTACCATGAGCCCAAGAGCAGAACCAACAACCAGCCAAGCATTGCATTAACTTATTGAAACTTGACATATTAGACATGTGAACGAGAAAGTGATGGGAAAGGCTGTGCAATAGAAATGCACAGTCGCCTTTCTACGTATACATGAATCTTTTGGGTGAGATCAGTGAGACGGTACAAAAATGTCTCTCCAAAGACCTGACTTTTGTGATATATTTCATAAGAAAAAAATTGAACTTGAAAGTGCAAGCAAATTTAATTGAATCAGAATTGCACAAACTTTATGTTTCACCAAAACTTGTATTCCCGTCGACAATGTATGCGCCCTGTAAGCAGGTTATAATGATAAGGCTGGCTTTTCCCGAGTGGTGCATACATATAGCAGCATTGTAAAATGGGAATGTTAAAGTTTGATGATGGGCAATTTATTAGGTTGTGAGTATGTACATGCATATACACACACAATTACATATACATACACAGAAGATGAGCGGTACTGGAGGTCTAGAATTGTCGTTCAGAGACACGGACAGAAGGTAATTTAATCATATTAAAAGGTTAGACGGTGGTCTTCTCTCCTTCACCAAACCACTCAAATAGCATTTGATTAAACGTCCATTCAAACTCAAGTTGGCGTAACGAGTCATAAATCTAAAGCTTTTTACTCCTGTTCAGCTCAGCAACAATAACATAATAATAATAATGAGTTCTCTCTCTCATTCTTGGCCTCTTTCATTTCTCAGTTTGTTTAGCTTATGTGCTTATCCTGCGAGAACTGAATTTACGGAAAGCATAACTATTATTGAACCTTCTCTCCTGTTTAGCACCTCTTTCTTTCCAAAAATTGAGCAACAGCCCAGCAAGAAGAGGGTGAAGAGTTCAACCGGATTTGAGCCTTTTACCACAAGACTCAGCTTTACATATATAGTTCATCTAAAAAATATGATATTTGCGTATGTATGTAAAAGCCCGTTTATCAAGAAAGTCATTAGTGTGAGAAAATTTAACACTTGAAGTGACTAAACATATGTACTATTTATTCTGATGTTTATAATAATTGTATTTTGTAATGTGTTGATAAATGTGGCCTTAATCGAGAAACCAAGGAATGTCCATTAGTCAAATTCAATTAATCATTTTACTGTATGATAATTTAATTAATTAGATTCAATTAACCTAGTCGAACATATATTTTCCGACACCAATACGAAGGGTGCATAATGAATGGATTAGGTTAGGTGGTGCTTGACATATGAATACATGTGTAGACAGGTGTGCTAGTGAATAATTTTAATATTTTCTATGCATTTTCATTGTCCTGACACAACTGCAATCAATAAAAACCTTTTTGTCATGTGACAATAAAGTAATGGGAACCGGAAGCATAATTAATTAGTAGACGTTTCACGTAAGACTTTGTGTGTATTTTGAGTCAACAGAGTCACAGGAAACGAGATTCTTACATATTTATGTAGATCGAGTGAGATGTGCTACAATTATTCTGCTCTGATGGTTGCAAACCTTGCATCACGTCAGTTGGTGCAATAATTATGTAATAATAATGCAATCAAAAAGGGCAACCCATGATGCAGAACATTTTTGGTGATCTATTTTACCCGTGTCAAATGAGAGGCACTCTGTCACAAACTGATGTAATTCACACTTATCATGTAAACTACTACGCAGATAGAAATGCACCCATTTGACTTTTCCGTTGACATCTGCTCCCTGTTGTGCGTGCACATACGTATAAAAGTCAGACTCTGCACAGACCCGTAAAATGTAACAGGAGACGATTAGTCTCAGTTTCCTCCGCCGGTCTGATTGATTTGTTTAGACTTTTAGAATTGACATATGAACACCCTTATACGTATTAAATGCATTCAGTTGCACCCCTTCATCCCTTGCACAGTTGACACGGATATTTCGGTAATACGCACTCCAGACGCAACAGTCCTTGGCTTCCTTTCTGTAATAATAATGATGATGATCTGTAATTGGAGCCGTTCTAAAACATTTAATTAATGAGGCATTCAAAATAAAATAAAAATAATTGCACTGATTTTTATACTCGTGAAAATATTAACCTTATGTCCACCTCCTTAACAAAGACTTTTAGCAGGTCAATGGATAGTTACTGTGAACATTTGCCTACAAATGTACATAAGTACGTATGATGCTGTGCTTTTGCTCAACATTAACAACTTGCCTACTCGTAATACGAGATTGTTTCTTTCTGGATTTACTTTATCGACATAATTAAGGAATTATGTTGGTGTTATTAAAATACTGGTTAACATAATATGACAAGGTAAGCTTGAGACTATCTACATACGGCTTCGTCTCATTGTTGCTTCTGTATAAATAATTCTGGTTCGTGAGATTTGTACGAGTTTGCCCCATTTCCTCCCCAATTACACCATCACGATGGAGAGGGTGACATATAATAAGGTCACAGTGTAATAATGGGAACTATAATCCCTCGAGAGGTAAAAATGGTCATTAATCATTAAAACCTTGTATCCTCTTCAGCCTCCACCAACTCATTTTGATGCATAATGCTTCCATTACTGCGACTTTTGCACAAGTTGACAGTTTTTCAAGTAATAACAAATGGAGGATATTTCAGTGAAATGTAAAAACGGTATTTCGCCCATGAATGAAATTGATGCGAGTGTAATGTGTACTCATTGGGTTGCTGCTGGTTGTATACTCAGTTCGTAAAAGATAAAGCTTCTTCATGCATGAAATTCAGCTCAATATCCTAAATTAATTTATCTTATTTAAAGATTCTGCTGTTCGATCGTCTCCTCTTTTGTCATGAGAATGACAGCCAGTGTTCGAGTGCACACAGATTAATCCATCTCCTCTTCCAACAGCAGCAGAGCAAAGGCTTTCATTGATGTGACTACTTTAACATTCATTAATTTAGTTCTTGGAGTGAGCGAGTGTTAGTTGGTTTGAATGGAGATTGGGTGGCTTGTTGTTTGAAGACTGGAAATGGTTTAGTTAAGCATCACGCTTAAAATGTTTCAATAGAAATTCGATACCAGAATGGCAAACAGGGAAAGTCGCGTAGACCATTTGAATAATTTGAATAACCTGTCGTATTCTGCTAACTATGTAACTAACAACCACACACCAAACACACTTGCATATGCATGCATATTTTCGTGAAGACAACCTCTTTTCAAATATGAATTAGAGTATTTCAGGTACCCACGTGGAAAATTTCCACTGCGAAAACAACATCGCGCAAAATGATCGAACTTAATCTCACTGATTTTACGTATCAAAACGACTTTCTCCACGCTGCAAATGCATAAACATTTATTATAACCAAATCGATGAAGCTCCATCTTGAGAAGTATATGTACAATTGATAAATTAAGTCCTTCCAATACCTTTATTTTTTGGGGTTTCCGCATTGGACCAAATAGCATGTTTAAAACAGATACAAGTTGCAATACTTAAATATAAAAGAAATGGTAATTACGTGACTTTAAACGTTGATGGTTTAAAAAGTCTGTCGCTGCTGCCTTGTTAAACGAGGCATAAAACTGAGTTTCCTTTCAATGCATTATTGAGCCAAATGTCTTGTCATACACGGAGACGAGTATACATATACATACGTAGTTGTAGCATTACAAGCTGTCCCACCTACAAAGTATCTTCTTCCCTCGCAGAGAAATTCGGGTCACGTCCTCTCCAGCATAATTCCCTTATTGGGAGTACTTACACATATAACTGGGTAACTAGCCATAACGAGGAGCATTAAGGATAAAGGAAATTGGGAAAAGCAACTTCACTTGGTGTTTAAGCACCATGCATATTATATGGATGTGATGCCCAATTCGATTCAATACTCTTTGCTCATGGGGAAATCGAGAAAGGATGGAAACAGGAAAAGGTTTTAACATAACATTTATTTTATGGGTGGAAGAACTTGGAGAAAATACAACAAACTTTTGCTGAGGTAAGTGCGTCACAGCTTACACATGGCCATCAGCAGGGCACAAGTGAAAGTACGCTTTCTCCCCGTCCGTTGGGGGGTATTCAGCGTAAATACATGTGTGTGCATGATGACAAAAAATATTTCAAAATTACAACACAGTCAGCAGAAAGAGAGGAAAATAAACAGGTTGGAAATGAAATATTCATTAGAACGAAGAGGGCGCGTTGTTGTGGGATGAATAGAATTGAATAATAGTATAAAATTAAGGTGAAGCCTGCTCATTCACTCGTCAGTCCCATCTGAAGAAGGAGGAGAAGAATGTATTAACCCAAGACAGACAATGCTTTTAACCTGTTTCTTATTTGATGGCGTTTTGTAACAATCAAAAGTTCTTTGCTTTCTCCCCAACCGAGTTTGTGTCGGGTTCCGGTTGCGCGACTTCAATAATTTGTGTCTACCTTTCTCTCTGTCTCTCTTCATTCTCTAAGTCTATTATTTGGCATTCTTCAAATTAATCGAAACTTGCCTCTTCTTCTTCTTGCTCTTGTTTCTGAACTCTAGTGATCATCCCAAAGTTTTTCATTTGTTTCCTTCCCACCCATCCACCCAGCGCACCCAGAGGAGGAACAGCCCCGTCGTCCCATTCTTTGATTTGATTAAGTCAAGTCCTGCTCCTATTTTCATTTG